ACAATAGAAAGTTGCAAGTTACAGAAACTCGATCAACTGAAAATTCACATCCCAATTTTGAAGGGTTTTATTTTAGGGTTCTTGCAAAACCTTCATTACCTTCATCTTCTTCCTCCTACTCAAACTGAAAATCCAACGTCATGGAATGCCTTGGTAGAGCTTACCACCATAATCTACCCCACCATTTCTCCCTCCAAAACCACCTTCCCCCAAATCCACAATCTTTATTCTCCTACACGATGCCCTATTCGCCTTCTATCAAATCCTCACCACCCTCCAACCCGCCTCCCCCAATCTCCAATCCCACCTTTGTCATCCCCACCATAGCCATAGCTGCATCAGCATTGTTCTTCGGGCGGCTCAATCAAAATCCCCCCATTATCACCGCTTCTATCGATAAACAAGTGGAGCAAGAAGAAGAAGGCGCCGTCAAGGAGTTGCAATTGAAGCAGAAACCCAACCAAATCGAAGCCCTATACTACTACAAGGTAGAGCAAGGCACGATCGTCCGATTGATCGATGCGGATGGATCAGACGACTATGAGTTGTTGAAAGCACGGATTCGTCGTTCGAGCAAGTGGTTGGAATTTGCGAGAAGAGAGCTGGAAGGGGTGATAGAGAAAGACCCGATTCGCGTAACGGAGTATTCGAAGGTGGTGGATGAGTTGATTGATATATTGAGGATTATGGAAGTGAATGTGGAGAAATGGGAGAAGGAGAGGGATAAGGGTTATTTGAGCTTCTGTAATCGGTTGCTTGCCCGAGTGAGGAAACTGGAGAGCCAAATTCTTGATGCTTTGAGGAATATGCAGGAGGATGAAGAGGAAGATGATTAGACACCAAGTTTCTCTTTTCTGATTCTTAGGTGTTAGTTATGAAACTTAAGCTTTGAATAAATGGTTTTCTCTGTAAATCTACGGCGTTTAAGAATCAAACGCATAACAACAGAAACTTAATTGCTTCATGCATAACAACAGAAGATCATGGGAACAACTATGTTTGATCCAAGGAGGTTTTAAGTTTATTTTGAGACACATTATTACCATATTTTCTCCCACAGCAGTTCTACTGTTATTATGCCAGCCACTGTCAAAATCTTTGATGAAATTCAGAGCTACAATTGAAATTCTTGATTGTAAATGGAAACCAGACTTGCCCGAAGCAGAAGACGGGGATCCTGTTTCTTGGTTAAGGGTGTGCGGTACAAGTAGGGAGCTCAAGTGTTTGGCTTGTACGAATCCAAAAACTAATTATGGTTGTGTCATCTCATATACAAAAAGAGAATTATGGATTTTTCACCTGAAATATAAATTAATAAGATAACAAGTAAATGAAGAAGAAGGTTCCTCTTTAGGGAAAAAATGCAAAGGTGATGTAAAATAATAGAAGTGGCTCTGCAGGGGAGAAAGAATTGGAAAAGGATAAAAAAAAAAAGGGCACTTAATGGGGTGAGAGAGGCTCGAACTCTCGACCTCAGGATCACTCTCTAGCTATGAGACCTACGCGCTAGCCAACTGCGCCACCACCCCATTTGTTGGAGGCCTCATGAATAGCAAATAATAAAGTAGACCGGGGGTAATTAAAATACCCAAAAGTAAAAAATAAATTATAACTCCTAATTTTAAATTAAGTCAATTATAAAACCTACCTGAAATTTGGTAATATGTTTATTAACATTAAATACAAAACTTTTTATCTTACAAATTATTGAACAATTTATACCTTACTAAATATGAGTGTTAAAATTGCTAGCAATTATTTAAAAAATTACTATAATCATCTCGTATTTTAATAATGAGGTTATTATAATTGTTTAAATAATAAATATTTACTAAATAAATTAATAATTTAAGTATCCAAATTGTTTAAACATATCATTATCATTCGAGAATTTATTTAAATATAAATATCTGGTAATTAATATCTAAGTCAGTAGAGCAAGATAACTAATTCATCCATTATACTAACAATCAATAGCACCTAATTATAATAATTTTGTCTAATAAAATCACAGTAAATAATTCCATACCTTGTTAGGATAAGGTGTTCTTTTATTTGTTTAGAGGAAATGAGGCATGGCTTGGAGGGAGGGAGGGAGGGAGGGAGGAAGAAATTTAAAGAACGGTAAATCAAATTATTTCTTTATCCTTTTGCTTTTCGAGAAGCTAAGAGAATTTATTTGGTCAGTGTATAGTCAATGCTAAATTTTCAGATACCAACACTAACACTGCGATTAGGGTTTTGCTAAGCTGAAGTTACTATTTGGTTAGAGTTCTTATTTTACAGAAAGTTGTTAAATTTGAAAAGCTTCTCACCACCATATCAATCACACAAGAATATGCTAGGAATCAGCATGATTTTCTTATTAAATATGCTTAAATCATGAAAGAAATCGAGGTTGTAGAGACGGGTCCCAGAAAACTTCAACTGCATTTAAAGATACTAGGAGGAGGGACTAATTTCAGAGAGAAAACAAACCTTGAGCGTATATATATATATATATATATATATATGTTTGTTCGTATCTGCATATGTATACATATATGTATATGCATATGAGATGAGCCTCGGATTTACTAACCCTTCTGGCCCATGCTATCAAGGACACTTTTCCTGGGGAGATAGAAGACAATATGGATAGGTGGGCTAAGAACAGAGGCTTCAACAACCACATGCTCTGCTCATCTGCTTGTCAATATCTCAGAATTTCCCACCTTACACCCATAAAACTGGACCCTCAAAACATTTCTAAGCCTTCCTTTCTTGATTGGCTTCAAACCAATATCTAATCCTTTTCACTTTTCAAAACCCCTTTCCAACCACCCATCTATTCCCATTCATAATTTGCTACTAAATTTTGTGGTTGACAAAACAAACATTCGGCAATCCATCTTCGATTCTTCCGAATCTACCTATCTACTATCAGCTAATTACAATGATTTTAACCAACTATTTATAGACATGAAATAGTTTTTAAGGTAATTGACATCTTGACTATAAATTACCAACATTACCAGATCATACAAATATCATCACAACTACATAGCATTTTCCAGCAGTATCTATACTACTCAATAAGACAGCGGTGAAGAATGTCAGACTCCATGGAAGTAAACCACAAACAGTACAAAACTCGGATAGGCAAAAAGAGTTGTTTACATATGCATTAACATCCATAAAAAGCCTAATTCTCTTTCTCCCAATCTTTGCCACTCTGCTTAAGAATTATAAGAAGCAAAAGAAAATTAATCTTATCTTGCTTTTTATTGAAACAAATGAGACAATGGTGCAATACAGATCTCTTGCGATTGGCCTCTCGATTTGTAATCTCCGCCCTAAACCCAAATCAGCGTGTATCATGAAAAGCCTAGGAAATTTCTTTAGCTGCTGCAACAACAGCCTCTGCTGTAATCCCAAACTCTTTGTATATTTTGCCTGCTGGTGCACTAGCTCCAAACCGGTCAATGCCGATGGCCTTTCCTTTGCTTCCGACAACCTTCTCCCAACCGAATGTTGACCCAGCTTCAATGCTAACCCTAGCTGAAACAGCAGCTGGCAAAACACTTTCCTTGTAGGCATCTGATTGCTCATCAAAGAGCTCCCAAGAAACAAAGGATACAACTCTAACAGCCTTTCCTTCCTTTCGGAGTACCTCAGCAGCCTGAGCAGCAATTTCCAATTCAGAACCAGTTCCAATCAAAATTACATCAGGTTTGTTACCTGAAGAATTGTCAGAAATAATGTAGCCACCTTTCTCAACTCCCTCGATAGATGTTCCAGGAAGTTGAGCCAACTTTTGCCGGGACAGAGCGAGGATAGAAGGTCTCTTCCTGTTCTCGACAGCAACTTTGTATGCACCAGCTGTTTCATTTCCATCAGCTGGACGGAGCATCAAGATGTTAGGCATGGCACGGAAGCTTGCCAAGTGTTCAATTGGCTGGTGGGTTGGTCCATCCTCTCCAAGACCAATGGAATCGTGGGTCATAACATAGATAACACCAGCTTCACACAAGGCAGAAATCCTCATGGCAGCTCTCATGTAGTCAGTGAACACAAAGAAAGTAGCACAGTATGGAATCAGCCCAGGGCTGTGAAGAGCAATTCCATTGCAAATGGCTCCCATACCATGCTCCCTAACACCGAATCTAACATTACGCTCTTCGGGTGTGTCCTTTTGGAAGTCCCCAAACATTTTCAACAATGTCATGTTGGATGAAGCAAGATCAGCACTGCCACCAAGAAGACCTGGGAGAACCTTTGCAAGGGCATTAAGACATTGTTGAGATAGATTTCTGGTGGCATCAGCTGGGCTCTCTGGAGTGTATGTCTGAGAAATTGAAAACAGAAGGCATTAAAAGACAGTTCTTTCCGTGGGCACTAATAACGCATTGAATTACTAAACCTTTTCTGATATATTGTTAGGTGAAGCTAACAACATAAGACCTAGGAAAATGGTAATCTTTGCTGTTAAAAAGAAAGCATGAAACTTCTGAAATAAAATCAGGAATAAGAAGCAATGACAGCATAGAAAACTTCTTACTGGAAGTGCTTTCTCCCAGCCAGCAGGTAATTCACCCTTGATGATAGACTTCAGTTCTGCAGCTTCCTCCTTGTATTTCTTCTCGTACTCAGCAAACTTGGCATTCCATTCAGCTTCAAAAGAAGCACCCCCAGGCACGTGCCGACTCCAATGCCTGCAAAATGCCAAGTGAATTGTATATCAAATCAGCCATAATAGTAAAAAACTAGATTAAAAACCTAGTATTACATACTTTTTAACATCTTCAGGCACATGGAAAGGCTCATAGGGCCATCCAAGGTTATTCCTAGTAGCATCAACTTCCTTTTCACCAAGTGCACTCCCGTGGACGCTGTATGTGTTTGCCTTGTTTGGCGACCCATAACCAATAGTTGTTGTCACCTGCAAATTTGAGAAAAATCAGTAAAACTGAAATCCCAGCATTTTTGCCATGGTAAAGTATCAAAAGATACTTAAAGCCCAAAAAATGTTCAAGTACACAATGCTAACATAGAAGTTTCATGAATCTATTTTTCCCGGGAAATTATCTCTGACAATTAAATATGATCTACACATAGGGAGAGAAAGTAGCTAACCTTGATCAATGTAGGTTTGTCTTTGACAGCCTTTGCTTCCTTAATGGCAGCACGTATATCATCATAACCCGTGTTTCCATTCTTAACCCAGATAACATGCCAACCAAGACCCTCAAACCGCTTGTCCACACTCTCGGTAAAAGCAATCTCAGTGTCACCATCAATAGAAATATGGTTGTCATCATAAAAAGCAATAAGCTTCCCAAGTCCCCAATGCCCAGCCAAGGAACAAGCTTCATTTGCAATTCCCTCCATTTGACAACCATCTCCCAGGATAACGTATCTGATGGACAAAACATAATAAAAAAGGAAATACATTTTATATTCAATATTCCAATAGAGAAAAAGCTAAAGCTAGGGGTGCAAGGATATCAGTAATTACGTATAATGATCAACAATTTCACTGTCAGGTTTGTTAAATCTGGCAGCCAAATGCTTCTCTGCAAGTGCCAAACCAACAGCATTTGCAACACCTTGCCCAAGAGGACCTACATAAAAAGAGGAGCTACGTATAAATAATAGAGATTTATCACTTATACACTACAATTCCAGTAGATAACTAAAGACAGAGTAGCAACCAGTTGTAACTTCAACACCAGGAGTCTCAAAGTTCTCAGGGTGTCCAGGAGTCCTGCTACCCCACTGTCGGAATTCCTTCAAGTCTTCTTCCTAATTAATTATCCAAACCATAAATTTTCAGAAAATAATTCAAATTCCAATTACATGCAACTAGATCAATCTGAAATGATAAAACTTGAAAAGGAAAAAGAATAATTTTTTTCATATCCAGGAAATGTTTAATAGGTGGGATGGCGAATTTTCGGAAAATAAATCTACCAATCTCAAAGGTTATGAGTTCAAGGCTGAAAAAAGATCAAAACAAATTAAGCAGACAAACAAAATGGTATATGTGTTCTTCACGACATGGTCGTCGCTAAACAATTCTCGCCATTTCTCAAATTCCAAACAAACCAGATCCGACTTTCAAAACTATTCAAACAAGAACCCACGGATCCAAAGCAAAGCTCCCAATACAACAAACCCAGAGGCAAACAGAAACTGGAAGCGAAACGCACCTTAACGCTATCATAGCCAGCAAGATGAAGCAGAGCATACTGCAACATACATCCGTGACCAGCGGACAAAACGAACCTGTCGCGATTGAACCAATAAGGATTCTTGGGGTTGTACTTCATGACTTCATCGTACAAGATATGACCCATTGGAGCACAGCCCATAGGCAGGCCGGGGTGACCCGACTTCGCCTTCTCGACAGCATCAACAGCCAAAAACCTAATCGTGTTGATCGATTTCTCCACCAGGGAAGCCTCAGTGGAGGTGTCAATGGTCTCTACTGCAGCTGCGCGTACCAAGTTGTGGGTGTTGTGGCGCGTGGGGAGGCGGCGACGGGAGGTGTTGGCACGTGAGGAGGAAGAAGGTGAGGATTTAAGACCCGAAAAGGACGGGACAGAAAGCGTGGAGAGGGAGACTCGGTAGTCCGTGGACTGAGTGGTGCAGTGGTGCGATAGACCTCGGACGAGGAGGGCCTGGGACAGGGTTACAGATGAAGTGGAAGCCATTGTTGTTGTTGTTGTTGTTGTTGTTGTTTAGATTAAAGAGAGAAGGAGAAGAAGAGAGGAGAAGAGGGGGGTTGGTGGTTGGAGAAATCGACCCTCCCTGTAACTTTGGTATTGTGGGAAGCGAGTCCGGATTTGTTTGGTTTTATTTTGAGGAAGAAAGCCAACAACTCGCTCTCTATTGATCTTCTCGTCTCCGCAAAGGGACAGCCAATGCGAAATGACCGTTAGATTGAGAGAGAAGAGATCGCAACCGTTGACTGTGGGTAGCATTTGAAGATAGCCCTCTGCCTTTCATTTTTGATTCATTCTATTTTACCAAAACCTCCCCCATTATTATTACTTTTTTTTTTTTATCCACGTTATCCTTTTCTTTACATATAAATTTTCCATTATTACTTTCCTTTTTATTTTTCCCCTCAAACCAACTTAAAATAAAATAAAAGCAATTTTTTTTAAAGAAAAAAAAAAGAAATGTAAGAATTATATATTTCTAATTGTACCATTCAAGAATTTATTCATAATTTTTAAAAAATGGATGATTAAACACATGTTTAACTTTATAGTTATGGATTAAATAATAAAACTTGACTTCATAAACAAGACAGAATTAATAAGAAAAAAATTATGGATGTTCTCAATTCCTTCCGGTGGTCCGGTTTGGCTCAATTAGCATAATTAATTATTCCGTTTTTTCCAAAAATTTAAAAATTAATTTGTGCGTACATTCGTAACAAATACAAAACCTAATCACCCCTTGCTATGTAATTTGTTTTAAAAAATTCATTTTAACAGATTATTAATTATTCCAATATTCTTGGTTGACGTAATTCTTCTTAAGGTCGTATTTTTTAAAAATATATATAGCGTCAAAAATCTGTTGATTGACGTTATATTTTTTATGATTATTTTGGTAGTAGCATTATATAAGCCAAGCTTATATAACCGCACAGCACATGACATCAGTGATCGTCATGGCGGTAGGTTTGGGGGAGATGTAAAATTCCAGATTGCTTCAACTCGACAATTTAGTCAAACGTATTAACAAGTTGGCTACCAAATTAAAATAAAGGTTTTAAGTCTTTTCAGCCTTCAATTTTGAGAATCTTTTAAGGAAAAACATTTCAGACGCCACAACACCTATTCTCTAAAACAAAACTATGAACTATTATTTTTTTTTTGTCCATAATTTATTGCTATATGAGCATGTAAAGTTTGAAACTTTAAGGTTCTAGTGTCCAAGATTTGTAAGAGTAAAATATCATAAAATAAAATTCAATGAGAACCTTTGAACACGTTCATATCCATGAGCTGAATAATCTATAATTACAGATCAGTCTATCAAATTATTTTTTGCAATTTTAGTTTGTTTAGAGTCTGGTCAAATCAAATCATTACTTCATATTTCCTTCCTCCAATAATGCAACTAAACTAATTAATTTATGGGTTCACATTCAATATGTTTGACCTGAAAACGTTTCAGGACTACATTAGACGTTCTGACATCACAACAAAACTGGCATAAGATCCAATGCAACTTAACTATAGAGCCAAAACTCAGACGTGGGATCCAATGCTTAGGCAGCAGATAGAGGATATATCAGCCCAAAAATCAGGTCCAAGGAAAATAGAATAACACTCACATAGGCCCATACCTTGGTTGGCGCAGTCCAGTGGCATGATGCCGTCGTCCACTTTACAGGACTCCCGTTTCGTGGTTTTGAGCCTCAGGTTATCCTTTGAGCTTCGACAAATTATGCATGTTAAAATTAATATGAAAAAATTAAACTAGGACTTGTACAGAAAGTAGAGTAATGCAGCAAAAAGTCTAAACCCATTAACACCAAAATTAAAGAAAAAAACTCATATAGGCTAGAGCTGAACTCTGGAAAGACTCCAGTCAAGCAACTGGTTATGTTATGGCTTCTCTATTGACACCAAGGGTGGTGAATGTATCATGTAACTGATCATTTCCCATTTCCAGACTGTATCAACTTTAGCAAACTTATCATTATTCTGAAGCTAAGAACAGAGATGACGATACTTCAATATGTAGGGTCACTTGGTTGGCGCAGAATCATCAAAGACATATTCCAAAGCTTACATCATTCTGACTCGTTTACAGTTTGAGACACAATTCCTGATCCCCCTACCAGTAACAGAATACGGGGCCGATGCTGATCGAAGGGAAGGTGACTTATCAACATAAGCATGGCGTTCGTTCCCATTCCAGTACAAAATAATCCGGTTGGTGCAAGAATGAGACCAGCTATCACCTGATTGTGGCAAGGGAAGTGTACAATGACATCTAATCAGGGTAATGGCAATAGGGCCAACAGAACCACATAACAAAACTGGAAGAAAGATATCGGGTTAAAACTAAATTTACCCAATGCAAGAGTTAGCTGGAAGGAACCTTCTGTATACTTGGTGGTTACCTGATTCAATAAAACAACCTGCAAAAAGAAGCAAAACAGAATAGTAAATTCTTAACCAAAATGTTGTACGGTAACATTAAGAATTCCAAATTACTGCATGACTGACTAAGCTAAAAATGTGTAGTAAACAACTCTATCCCAAGAATTTGCTTCATCTATCTGAGAACTAGTTTTCTAAATTTGTGGGTGAATTTCCTTTGTTTCGAAGAGGATGAAATAAAAAATAGAAAGATCAACTAAAAGAATTACGTCCATAGATTAAACAGACATCTAATTTGGAACCCTTAAAATGAAGTTTGTTGCAAGTTAAAAGTTTAAAATTAACTAAACTCTTACCGCCAAATTAAATTTTTTTGCAAGCTTCATCAACTTTAAAGCCATTCCACTAAGCACTCGAGTTCTAAGAGCCAAATCATCAAAGTCTTGACGGAAATGGAAAGTAATACTGTCAACAATAATGACTTTAACCTGTGAAATTCTGAACAATCAGTCTATTTCTGATTGCTTTTACTACAGGGAAAAAATCAGCATCACAGAATATGCAAACGCCACACTTGAGTTCATACAAAAAGAGATGTGTTCAATACGAGACAAGATGTAAAGGATACCAGGTGTAAGGATGTAAGTACGCTAATGAATAGTTCATTTGCTTTAAGGTCAGGAATAAACATGCATGAATGACATAAAGAAACAGCATTACAGGGAAAAAAAAAAAGAAAATCAGCATTAAAGAATATGCAAAAACACCACATTTGGGTTCATATAAAAAGATACGTGTTTAATACGAGACAAGGTGTAAAGGATACCAGGTGTAAGGATGCATGTACACTAATGAAAAGTTCATTTGCTTTAAGGTCAGGAATAAACATGACATGAATGCACGTAGAGAAACAGCATTACAGGAAAAAAAAAAAATCAGCATTACAGAATACGCAAACATCACATTCGAGTTCATATAAAAAGAGATGTGTTCAATATGAGACAAGGTGTAAAGGATACCAGGTGTAAAGATGTATGTACGCTAATGAAAAGTTCATTTGCTTTAAGGCCAGGAATAAACATGACATGAATGCACGTAGAGAAATAGCATTACAGGAAAAAAAAAATCAGCATTACAGAATATGCAAATATCACATTCAGGTTCATATAAAAAGAGACGTATTCAATATGAGACAAGGTGTAAAAGATACCAGGTGTAAGGATGTATGTACACTAATGAAAAGTTCATTTGCTTTGAGGTTAGGAATAAACATGCATGAATGCACATAAAGAAACAGATCCAGGCACAAAAAGGGACTTCCTGAATGGAAATACTTCAGTTAAAATTTGGGACTGTGTTTGCCTACCACAATTTCCAGGTGAAAAAATTGAGAGTTGAGCATCTCATCAACATAAAAAGATTGGAGAAAAAGAATAAGAACATTTTAGATGTTAGTAGGCACATATTCTATAATTATACCCACATCTTTGTGCTCTGACACGAACTTGTCAAGGTGATTTATCAGGGCAATTTGCTCAGTGTAAGTGCAGACACGGAAATAAAATATGTTCTCCAGGAGATCCTTCGGTTTTATTTTAACTTGGCCTGCTCGAAGATCCTTATGTAAAAATTCATTATATTCTGACATGTCCTCAATGGAGGCTTCAGCAATTTGTATAGCACGTTCCACCATAAAGCTACCCTCCGTGTCTAGGTATCACACAGTTATCTCAAAGACTTAAAGCCCAAAGTTAAATCAGTAAATAGAAGAGTGCACGGAACCCAGAAAGAATATTTTGAATTAACCTATATATATTGCCTTTCCCCCAAGACCACCAAAATTATGTGGGATTTGAACATTGACTGCAAGTTGAATCCTGTAATTCCAAATACATAAATTAGTGTAGGAAAAAAGCAATGTGAGTAGAACTAGAAGAATAACAATTCATACCCCAGCTGTGTTTTACCAATGCCCGGTACACCACCTGTCTTACCAACCAAAAAAGGGAGGAAAAAAAAGAAACAACACCAAGATTTGCTAAATGAACTGTATATATCTACTTAATAAGTCAATCCAGTGGGGAAAAAAGGGGGAAATAATCTGACCAATTTCAGTAACTTCTCTACAATTTATTCCACCCCCCAATACATTATCTAGATCTGAGCAGGATGTGCTGATGCGTGCTAATAATTCCTCCTCATGAAGCATGTCCCAGGCATTCTGTGCCCCTGCATAAAATGAAAACATGAACATTCTTCTTTGTACAGGCCAAAAAAAACATCAAATAGAAGAAGATTTCCACATATAAGCATGTAACAGGTTTCAAAGCCTGGGTCCCAAAACTCTGGGACCTAAAAACCAAAACTGGAAAAATTATGTCTACGTGTATGTCTATATATATACATATATATGTATAAATACCATTTATAACAGAACAATTTCCACGAGACAAGTCAGAGCCAGAACCCTGCGATGCAATCTTCAGAATATTTACTGCTTCATTCTCTGAAATTTTCGCTTCTGCTGAAGTGAAAAAATGTTATTATATCCTCTCAGAAAAGAGACAAAGGTTACTAGATCACCACAAGTGCATTGAAACCTCAAAATTTCAGCGATGAAGCTGACACTGATGCCACGCAATAAGATTTAATGTTATTGTAAATCAAATGTCATCCAACGAAGCGGATGATTTCATAAAATTACATGAATGGGATACCGGGTGTCAAAAAAACTATCTACACTTAGACAAAGAAACCGGCAAATTATTAACCACCACTTCGATGCTATTAAATTATCCTACAAAAGCAAATTCAAGACAACTTAACTACATTGCGCCTCTGCCGCAAAACAAAAGAACTCGACGATTAGGGTTTCGGTATTCATCCGGTCGAATTTTAGAGAATATATCATTTCCAAATAACTAGAGCCAAGGAGAACAGTTTAGACCTCAGGACAGCTAGCAGAAACAAACACATTGTACGTTTATGTATTCAGAAGCAGGAAACCATTATCAAATTAACGAGTATTATCGTATGGAATCCAATCAAATTACAGTGAAGTGAGGAGAGGAGTGAAGCAAAGTAAAGAAGAGAGCAAAATCCATCACCTCGAGCAAGTTGAGAGGAAGTGACGGAAGTAAGAGAGGAGAGAGAAGTATATCCCGCCGATATTAGCTTCCCTCTCTGAGATGCTGAAATTGGCAGCCTCCACACATCCATCTCCTGCACACAAGCACAGCTATTCGGCGCCTAAACTCGCTCATTGAAACTCTTTTATAGGCTGCAGAAATTTCAACGGTTCGGGTCAAATACACGTTCTGGGCATAGCACCAGTGGACCAGGCCCAACCCGTTCGGCCCAACAGGCTAAGCTTGAGTCGGAACAGGCTGGGTGACCCAACAATAATCGGGCTGGCCCAAGCCATTCGTTTAATACAACAATATAATTTTTATCTTAGAATTTATACTTGCAAAATTGAAATGATTCTGGCAGGAATACTAAAAGAACATGCAATCATTAATTCACCCAAGATGGATGGTAATAAAGAGGTAAATAATTACCAAATTACTGTTATTTAAATATTTTTTAAGCTGAAATTTCTTTAAATAATAAAATTAAATAGTAAAAAAAAATATATAAGTCACAGTAACTTAAAATAAACCGTTTATTACTGTGCTATATGACTTAACAAATGAACAGTGATATCAGAATACAACAGCAGTTCCCATCAAGGGAATGTCAAGGCGTCGATGATTCTATCTTGACTAGCAACTTCCTTTCTATCGACAAAGGCTCTCAGAACTGCACCTGAGACTTTGCACCTCTCAGCTTTCCTAGCAAACTGTTTTGTGTCTATCGCAAGAAGCTTGGCTCAAGACAAGAAAATTTATTGTGTTAAACATATGTAATCGCTATGTTTTTTGTCGCAGAGAAGCTTGGATGAGAGATGTAAGTGATGGGTGGATACGGGCCTTCCTTAGGGAGCGTGCTGAACTTCTTCCGTCAGCATATTCCTCGCCAAGTGGCCACCTCGGACGCAAATCATACTAGATCAAAAAGAAAAGATGCATCTATTAACCCATAAGATAAGATGATGGAATGAAGTTACTTTAATCATGTCCAAGTACATTAACTTTCCGCTACACTGTTTCACAGAATAAAAGAGAGGATTTATTGGTTGGCTATGGAAGAAACTTGTAGGAGTTAATCACCTGGGCTGATAATTTAGAACTTTAAGCATTATTTACAATGCTTATTTTCATTTACAGTCCACTAAAAGAAATATATGATTTTAGAAAATAAAACACAAAATAGCTTTCAACACAATCTGGTCCCCATATTTCCAATTGACAGCTTAAAGCCTTAAAACTCTAAAATGCCTATATATTTTACAACCAAGCTCATATGATGCTTGACAAAGATGACACCAAACATGAATGCAACCAGCACAAAGAACAACAAACATATCTAAACATACCACAAAATCTTCAGGGTCCTCGGGGGGTGGTGGAGGATCATATCTTCCCATGCGGAAGTGTTCAATGCCAGTCCAAGCCACCATTACACCTGCATAAATTTAGTAAATCATTTTTTTTTTGGCTAGGCCTTAGACAAGGCTCTGTAAACCATGGGAATCAAACTTTATATTTAAAGCACGTTATGGAGCATACTGACCCCTGAGATACACATGCCTGAGAAAATTATATGTAATTAACTATTCATGAGAATTCATGAGGATCTTAATTTACATGTATAATCTCCTTCAAGCTCGTGTGTGCAACTTCTGAAGCTTACACCTATTCACATCATGTTTAGGAACACTCTCTAGCTTTTAACAAGTTATTAATCCATAATTTGGTAATTTCCTTCCAGATATGTCTTGGGCAGCAGAAGAAATCTCCTCCTATGTGATAGAAATTATCTGCTACACTTAACTCCCCAGCTTGGCAACAAAATTACATCACTTGCCATCTAATCCAAGCCAAGGAGCTCTTAACTTACCATTATCAGTACAAAGGCTGGGAGGAGGGCATACAAGTTGTAGGCTTTTCCTCTTCACAACCTGATTTAGTCGAGTCCTAACATATTGATTTGATGCAACACCTCCTGAGACCACCTGTAAGATACAAAATATTAAGGATGTGATAAGCTGCTCTTGATAAGGGAAAATCAACATACAAGTTAAGATAAAAATGATAAAAATAGTAGTTGGCTTGACCAAATGATTTATGGAAGGCTCAATCTTCAAAGCCCATTCAATTGCTCGTTCACACCTTTCCTCAAGATGTAATACTGCAACTTGCTGCATGACAGGACAAAGCATGTCAAAAGTACAATTAAAGAGAATTCTACCTTAGTGTAAGTAAAGCAAAAAAACAATTTTACCATTTTCCTTCTACTAAACAAAGAACTAAAATTCCTCACAAATAAACAAAATAGAACAAAGAATCAAACCTGGAAAGCAGCAGCAATATCAGCTCGAGATCTTCTTTCCTCGCTACTTGCAGAAGAAATGGGAATTTGAGCATTGCTGCACGGAGTTATTACAGGTGTCAATGGATAAAACAGCTTGATAAAAGCTACAAGTATGTCAATGGATAGAACAGCTTGATAAAAGCTACAAGTATGTCTATGGATTTATTCTGGTATTCACTATAAATTGTTAAATATTCCTCAAATCAGTGAGAGGAGTGGCAATTCTTGAATAAAGCTGCAGGTTGTAATAGAAACTTACGAGACTCATTTTCCAAGGCAATCCAATTCGTAAACAAAGATTGCTAATTATCACATCCATTTCTACCAGATATCACTCATATTCAAAAGGAAGAATGAAACCAGAATATTGCTAAACAAACAAATGGAAATAGGCATTCAAAATACACGGAATCAGATTCCAGATATTGATTTATTCTACATACATATTTTTCGATTCAATAGCCAGCCTCACTTGAGTCTTCAGGCCAGCATATGAGAAGTTGCAATCTTTATGCTGTTTCATCGGAATCTAGAAAACAAAGAAAGATCAAAACTTGGGATGGTACAATAGAATGTGAGAACAAAGATGAACCCAATGAAAAATTACACAATCTAATGAAAGACTCACAGAAAACTTGATGGATTCTGCATCACCCTCTCTAGCAAGCTCTTCAACAGCTGGCCCACCACTTCTTCTCATATCTAGACCCAGCCACTTTGCTGTTTTGTCAAATGCCTCACCTATTGCATCATCTATCGTGGTCCCAAGTTGTGTATACTGGCCAAGATCATGAGCAAGAACAAGTAGATTGTGCCCTCCTGAGATATAGATCAGGGCAGCCAGAAATTTTCATAACCTCTCACAAGCAAAACCAAATGAGATAGTACAGTAAAATAATAAACTTCGGTGATCAATTGTCCTAAAAATTAAGTCAATAGAAAAACGCTCAGTTAATTGTTCTCTATTATCTTCATAAAAATTAAGTCAATAGGAAAAAACTAAGTTAATTGTTCTCTATTATCTTCTAACAAGGGGAATTCCGAGCAACATACATGCACTCAACCCCAAAAAGGCTCAATGGCCCAGTAGCAAGCAATGGAAGTGCAAGACAAGATAAGATTTTGAAGATCAAATGGTAGGCAAATAAAATGTGAGTGACAATGATAGGGGGAAGCAATCCCAAGGTTTCAATCCAACAATAATAATGCTACGATAAATGCTGACTAATTATTCCAAAAGTTTAATTTGATAAAAATGACAAAGTTTGTTATTTTATATTATATTCAACATATACGAATGCCTCAAATTGATTTAGATGCATGTTCTTCAAAAGAGTGCAGGAGAACATGTTTTGGCCATACCATCATATTCCAAGTTATAAACGGTTGGTTCTGATGTAATTTTAGAAGACGTGAACCTATCAACCTAAATTGTTCATCCAGTTCAGAGTAAGTGGTCCTGAACAATAATGCACAATCTTGTTGCATATAGGCCCAATAATGTACCTGTTATATGACAGTTTTGTAAAAAATAAAAAACTTCCAATCATCTGGCACAGACCCCTTTGGTAGACCAAGAAAAAAAAACTAAGAAGCAGATAGACATACCTGATATAAGTAGGGCCACGAAAGGAAATTGCAATTCTGGTTTCATTAACCTTGAAAATAAAGTTATGTTAGAGCAGGCCAGCCATTTGCAGTACAATCTTTTTCTTTACTTAAAAATAACATGTTTTTGGAAGTGCGTTCAATATCATTCTAACCACTGATACTGTTATACCTGACTACCAGAGCATGAGCCTCCATGTGATGCACACCAACAACTGGCAGATTAAAGCTTCCAGCAATTTTTCGAGCCTTCTGCACACCAACTGCATTACAATTGCAAGAAGAAATAGCATAAAGTATTTGCACTTATAACTAATATCTCACTATAGTACAGGCTGATAATCTCATAATGCAAGAGACCTTTTGAAGGCAAAATTTCATATAGATTCAGCTATACAGAGATAGGAAAGTGCTTTATTCCATAGGATGGCTAATTTCCATTTCAAAAAATGCTTCTTGCAACCTGGAAGTAAATAAGGTATCTTACGTGGTAAATGCAGCCATGATGGGCTGCCAGACGCCATAGGCAGTTTTACAAGAGTGATTAATTGGACCAATTAAGAACTTATAAGGAAGAGATTAAATAGATTTAGGGCTTGTTAATTGTGGAAAACAAGGGCGCTTCAAAGAAATTTCGGTCCCATACAGATATCTTCAGTTAGGGCAGCAATGAGAAGCCAACTCGCATAAAATATGCCAGTTACATTAACTTAAGTTCCTCCACAAAGTTCTAACTAAAGAATGTTCCAAACAGGGTTGTAAAAAATGTGAGAAAGCTGATACCTTCTTCAGTTTGGTCAGAAAATGAGTTGGCTGTAATGGGAAGAAAATGAACTTAGAAGGTAAAAGTAGTTCTGAATTACCGCGAAGGCAAAGACTCAAACCAGGGCCAATGGTAACAGCAATTGCAGATAGCTCTTTCTCATTTAATTTGGCTTCATCAAGTGCTTCTTGTACAACCTGCAGTTAATTACCACAGATCTTGATCAATGTCAATGCTAAATGCAGAGAACTAAACTGAACTACGCTTGAGATGTGAGATGAACAAGGACAACAAACTTTAGTGTTGTTAGATATAAAGTGAATGGCATCGTAGCATATTCTAAAAATTCAGGTATGAACAAGAACAATGAACTTTACTGTTGTTAGACACCAAGGGAATGGCATATGTTGCATACTATAAAATTCTGGTATCATGCACACTAAAATATGAACTTATAGAGACTATGAAGATAAAAGAAGAGATGTAAACCAATAAAAACATAATAAGATAAAGCTGCATAAAGCACAAGTATAAAGGGTGTAATTTGTAAATACCTTATCAATGACTTGAGAGTGTGCTTCTTCAGCCATTTTTGGTGCAACTCCTCCATATCGATTAAGCAGGTCTTCCTTAACATAGTGATAGAAGAATTAACTAATGGAAGCACTAATCACACCCGAATATTCTCACTTCCCAATACAATGCAACTTGTTTCTTGATAACAGAAAGAGAGGTTGGGGCCGGGGAGGGGAGGGGGAGAGGGGGAAGTAAAGTTCTGCTGCTCACAAGTATTCCTGGTTTGAATATGGTTTGCAGCAAAGAGGATGCTGCAAATTTATGTTTAGCAGCTTTATTATGACAGCAAGAATGTTATCATCATCATCCTTCAAATTCGATTTAACTCAATTCTTTTAACAATGGGATCCCACAATGAACAACAAAATCATAAAAAAAAAGGTACAGTAAAGTTGAGTTGAGTAAATAATATAAAAGTCTCCTCTTGTACAAGTGTAATTCACTCCAACATATCATATTACCCAGTAAACTTGCACAACTCATTTGCCAACAAATACCAAGGGTTAATCATAGACCATAATATCCAATTACAAATTTTTTTTTAATGGAACAATTGGCTGCAAACTCATGTATGCTTCGATCTCCTGTTCTCCACTTCCATTTTCCAAATTTGTTTCTTCTAAAGAAAATCATCCAGATAATTCAGTAAAGAGTATTGTCAAAAAAAGAAAGAGTATTGTCAAAAAAAAAAAAAAAAGAAATGGAAGAAAGAATAATGTGCTTGCTTGAGCTTATTTTCCATAAGTAGAGACAAGGTTCTCTATTTTGGAAATGTTTCATTTCAAATATAAAACATGGAAAATATGTTTTCCAACCCTTTCTAATTTGGAAAATCTTGGCTCCATTTTATACATGAAAATTTTCTCTAATTTTTATAAATAAAAAGATAGTAATATTTGTTTCTGCAGTGTTCAAGTATAAGTAAGAACATTTATTTATAATACTAAAAACAATTTTTAGTTCTTTTCAAACTCATGCCATATTTTCATGATCATTTTTTAAACATTATTTTCATTTTCAACAATTCAATATTCTAATCATATATGAACATAAAATGAAATTTCTAAGAGTGTTTTCATGCATTAAATGAAGCCTATACTTTCCAAGAAAACATAAAAACAGAACCGCCGACTTAAAACATTTTATGCATGGGAGAACTTCTCCCAGAAATTTCCTTGAAAAATAACCTTATTTTCAAAATAGGCCCTAAACCTCCTCATGCTCGTCCTGACATATGCTAAACGATCTAATTAATCATTCCCGTTGCGGCTGCCAAAATGACCATCAGGCGCAGCGGAACCATCTTAATTTACCATCTCATGTTAACTTTGGTTTAGCCACTCTTCTATTATGAAAGAAACCTAATCCCAGCAAATGGAATGAAGGAATTCTTTATTGAGAATCTCAATTTCTTTTTCTTTTTCAAAAATCTTGACTTTATGGAAGACCACTGTCCAATTTCCTTAATTGACACAACCAAGTAGGAATTATAAGCAGAACATCGATGTATATCAGCTTAAAGAAATATTTTGAGTTTATTCACCTGCGAAGACACGACTTGGCTGAGAATTTCCCCATTCCCTCTCACCTAAAACCAGGAGCCAACACCAAAACAAAGAGGGATATAAAAAAACAAGAAAGAAAAAACCAGTACCCATTAGGAATCTTCATAAATATTTACACTACAATGATACCAAGATAAAGCGAAATGAAGAGCTTACAACAGCAGCCGCAGTATCATCGCAGCTCGTTTCGATGCCAAGAACAACCAAATCTTCATTTCGAACCGTAATCTTATTGTATGATTGGGGGAAAATGGACTGCCTTGAAGTTGAAAAATGGGCGAACAGAGAACGGAATGACGGGAAATAAGAAGAATAAGACGAGAAAGGTGACCAGATAGGTATTATTAGTTGATGCCTATGGCGTTTTAGTACTTTGAGACCTTTAAATGCGTAGGAAAGCGAACGTTGTGAGTGAAGACTGACGACGGAAATCGTAGAAGGAAGTGTTAGCAGTGAAGACACCATTTCATGGAGACTGTTGAGCCGTACACAGAGAGAGAATCAACGGAGTTTTGACTTTGACGTTCGACGGGAGACGTAGCTGCGTATGCGAATTCTCACGGACCTTTAATCAAACACCTTGCTAGCAACCACAGAACCCACACCTTCAACACGTAAATCACAAAGATTTCTTGAAATTTCTGTGGCTAGCAATGGCCTGCGGCAAGAGTTAAAAGGTGTTCGGTGAGGAAGAAACCGAGAGAAGGCAGCATAATGTAGTACGGGGGTTTGAAAACAGATGGCAGAAGAAAATTGTACTTGCAGATGTAGGAACAAGGCTGTGGCTTTATAAATTACGAGTCGTCGGGAAGCTGCTAGAGAAAGAGACAATTGAGGGATTTTGCAGAAAGGCTGCAGAGCAGTGAGAAGATGGCGCTTCGGTGGCTCTCAGTGGTTGCAGAGGAGAAGAGAGAGTACTTTGAGAAATTAATTAATTTTAAAAATTATGACATGTCTCAACCTTTTTGCCATGTCATCACCCACGTGTATCAAATTAACCACGTAATTTTTATTTAAAATTAAATTAATTTGGACAATAATTGAAAACTTTCATCATACGACACCGTTTTATAGTCAGTATACTTTTTTCAATTCTATGGAGATGTAATAAATTATTAAAGGGTACCCTAATTTCAGATGATAGCAACGTTCAAGTACTTTAAAATACTATATTTTACATTATTCATCTATCATCATGTCTATATAAAAATTTAAATAATTTCAATTGTGCTACGATCAAGTATAAGTTTTAATTAATTTTGTCTCATACTATTTCTCAAATTGAACATTTTGTAAAAAATTAAAATCTTTTAATACTCAAACTCCATAAAAGGTGACTACTACATTGGTTATGCATTCCCGCCTTATTTGACATTGCAAAAAAAAAAACTCTAAAATTAAATGGGTATTATATATAAATTAGATATATATATATATATATATATAAGTTGTTATATATCCGTGCGATCCATGGAGGTGGTAGATACTAATGAATTCTGAAGTGATTCAACCTGCAATCTCCAAGTCGCAAAGAGTAAGTTGCTTTTTTGTATTCACACCACGTGAATGGTTTGTAGAGAGACGGATTTTGAGTCGATACAAGTTCCGGCACGGCGGTTATCCATGCATTTAACGGCGGCGCCCCGAAGAACATCGTTGACATTCTTGAAGTTCTTGAGTTGACCATTGCTCTGTGTCTCACGCTTGAAAACCTCCCGTTTGTTAAAACCTATTTTTAGTATAAATTTATAAATTATAAAATTAATTTTTATGGAAAGAAATATAATTTGGGGAAAATAAAAATAAGCCGGGCACCGACCTGTAGGGCGTCGCCGACGATGACGTAGAAGGCTGTGGGGTCAGGGGGAACGGGGACCCACAACCCGTCAGGTGAACAAATTTGAAGGCCCGCTACGTCGTTGGATCGGAGAATGGTTAAGATCTGAGGGTCAGAATGCTCCCCGAACCCTACTTGTTGACGTGGGTCCCCACGACCTGGGAATTGGAGGGCAGGATAATGATTGAGTCTGAGAAGGGAGTCGCTGTGGACGTCCCTGATGAGTTTGCTGAACACGTGTGAGTCGGGTACACGTAGACCCTCCCCTAGCAGATCAAGAATCTCACACGCGAGCTCCCTTACAGCCTCTATGTAATCATTCACCACACAGCTGCACAAAACTTGCCACTCATGATAAATTCCAATAAATAAATAAAAATAAAAGATTATTTGACATTTTGAAGTAATAATTTTAAATAAATTTAACGTGTTACTTTTCAAATATAATATGCTTTTAACCATTAAATTAGTGCGGGAAAACTCTGAATCATTACTTTTTTTTTGTTTTGTTTTGTTTTCTTCTCAAGAATAAATGAGATCCTATGCCTAATTATTGATAAATCGGCGTCGTTTTAGCTCAATCAGGTGTACCCAAAGATGGCCTCATGTGCCACCAGCTAACAGCCGTCATCTTATATATACATATATGCTATATCTTAAAACATACAAGCACGTTCTCAAATAAATAAATAAATAAATAAAAAGAGGTTAGGTTAATGATAATAATTAATCAAAGGAATTGGTTGAGTGTAGGCTGGATATGGCACAGGGCAAGACTGAACTAGTCATGTCCAGTCACTAATTAACATTTGATTATTGCTATTTAATATTCAAGATAACAATGATGTGAACTTTGAGACTCACAATATTTGACTTATTTTTTATTTCATTTTGGAAATTAATTTTTAAATTATTTTTAAAAACGTTTATTTCCTTATATTTACCTACCTGGGTCTACTAGAATCATACCATGTTGGAATAATAATAGGATTTAATAATTTTTATAGGTAAAAAGAAAAAAAGGGCTTACGGTAGTAATAATATATTGCGTAATAAAAAATTAATTACCACGTCAAAGCTAAGCTCAGTCAGCCTCGATTCTTAAGTCTTATCCTGTTTGGGTGTCTGCACGTGTGGGTAAACTCACCTTTTTGACCCATGACCTTATTTTATATATATATATATATATATGTTCGATGTGCATAGAGAAAATTAAAAAGGATAAGTTAATTATATTTATATGGAGCAATTAATGGTTAAGAGAAAAAAAAAAACATTTAAAGTTATAATTAAAATGAAAGTAAATAAAATTACAAAATTTAAAATATGAGAAAATTTTGTTATTATTTTTCAATAAAGGAAAGATGTCGCTTTCTTGGATACCAGACACTAATTATACTTTTAAAAAAATCTTCCACCTATAAAATTAAACTCCTCTTGACTTTCAAACTTTGTTTTTTTGGGTAATATATAAATTATGTTGGCATATATTAAACAAATATATTAATGGCCATTAACTGCGCGAATACGAAGAAAAGTGGAACAACAAAACCCAGAAGAGAAATTATCTGCATTAATGAAAAGCCATGCAAAACCAACATGATCTTAATTGAACCGAGGTGTTAAAACTAGCTTTATGTATGTGTATGTGTGTGTATAGCTAGGATATTGGTACCTGAATTTGAGAGGGTCGGAGGAGATAGCCTGAGATCTTTCAGCGACGGAGGAAGGATTTGTGTGAAGAAGAAGGTATTCGAGCTCACCAACATCGCCATTAAAGCCGATGTTCTTACAGCCATAGCCGAAAGGACTTGCAGGGCCAGCTCGCTCCTTCTCCATAGCTGGTCGGCCAAAGAAATCAACAGCTTCCTTCTCTAATCTAGCCGTGGTCTCGTCGGGGACACGATGGTTAACGACCTTGAAAAATCCATACTCTTCGCACGCCTTCACCAGTAAACCAGATAGCTTTGACCGGTTGAGAGAAAAATTAATGGTGGGAATCCCTACAGCCTTGGTTTTCCTGGTCCGTATCTGGGTCGTCAGTGATGGCCCTACCATCTTGCTATAAATATATATGTATGTATAAACTGTTTGTATATGTGTAGTTTGAGAATGAAGGAGTTGAGAGGTTGAAGAAAGAGTAGTTTTAGGTTGAAGTTTTTTGGGTTTGGAGGGGTGATCATGGTATTGGTGGTGGCTATTATATATATACATGTTAGAGGGAGAGAGAGAGAAAGAGGATGATGATGATATAATATTGAGAAGAGAACATCGTGAATTTAGGAGGACGTCGACTTTGTATTCTATGATTGTTAAAATATTTATATATATAGATATACACACATAGACATAGTACTATGATATTATTGTAAGAGACAGTAGTAGATAGGGGACTGACTAGTTAAGGCGGAAGCTATGGACATAAGAACAGAAAGTGAACAAGGAACATGTTGAGAACTGACGGGAGCTTTTAGGTGTAAATGATCGATAAGATCAAAAAGGTGGATTGGCTTCCTATTATATATCTAGATACATACATATTATATACAAACAGACATAAATATGGCTGGAGGTTAATAATATTTTATAACTATATACACCCCTCCCTTCTTAGTAATTCCCTTTAATTAATAAATAATATATATTTACTAATCAAATTATAATTTTCTATATACAAAAATACATAATTTAACTCCAACTTATAAATTTTCTTTAAATATTATACCCATTAAGATTTTGACAAAAAAAATTTGTTACCTTTCTTAATAATAATTAATACGAACAAAATTATTATATCTCGATATAATTATGATACTTCCCAAATTCAATTGTAAATCAACCAATTAAATGAAATTTTAAGCAACTTTTGAAATAAATTCAAAAAATTTAATACGTTCGACTTATAAATATTCGTAAATTTTATCTAAATAGTAAAAATACTTATGGAACATTGCGGATATATAGTTTCATGTGAATTAAAGTAATATAATAATTCTAAGTTCTACTAAAATTAATAAAATTTAAAATCTTGTTTTGTGTTAATTGTTCTAATATTATATAAAACTAGATATGAGATTGATTTTCATTTTGTTAATGATAATTTTTATTATTTTCTAATCTAGATAAGTGTAAACTTGCAAATACATTCTAACAAATATATTCATTCATTCCGAATGTAGGACTTTGTTAATATTATAAAAAAAAATTAGTAATTTAAACACTAAAAGTAAAGATTTATATAGTAGCTTTTTACAATTAAAGTATAACTAATAAAGAAAGGGAATTGAGTGGAACATGAGTATAAATGTAAGTTCTCGTTGTGTAGCAAATTAGGCTGCATTATTCAAAACTATAACTTGAAACTCATGAAAGAAAAAGAAAATATTTATATAAAGTAATGTCAAAAATAAGAATATTCTATTAAGTATAAGAATTACTGAGATGACGGTGCAATTTTATAAATTTTATATGATATAAAATTCTCATTTCATTTCGAATGACTCTAGTAAATACCTTTGAATTGGATTTAAAGTTTTGCCAACAAATTAACTCATATTAAATATTGATAAATTAGTTCAAAAAGATATTGATTGAGTAATTATGTATTAACTCATTCGTGATAATAACAAAAAGTGAATCACGGAATTTATGTTTAACCTATGTACCAGTAAATCCATAAACTTGAAGTTTTAAGGTGTCTTATAAATGTTAAAGTTTGCATGACAATATATGGTTTATAAATTGATTGTCAAACTTTGACTATTTATATATAAAACATCTTTTAGATATATAGGTTAACTATTTTATCTTAATTATTTTTGTTAAGTCATATTTAATATTTCATTTAAAATAGTTGAGAGATCGAGTTTGTTCACATTCGTAAAAAGTGTAAAACATGTGCTAATGTTATAAGCAAATAGGCTCTAACTTACATGTTGAAATCATTAAATTTGAATAACTATCAGAGAGTCTTAACATACATATATCTAAACAAATATAGTATATTTTGATCAAGATAATTTTCAGTTCATTGTTTTCGTTTTTGTTTTTCTCTATAAAATATATATATATATATATAACCAACTCAATACTAATTTTTTGTTGTAAGGTACAACTAACTTTTTAGATTATGTTTCAACATCTATAAATCATACAGAATTTAAATTAACTATTAAAAAATGTAAATTATATTTGAACGAAGAAAACCTGTATATATATACTTTAACATACAAAATAATATACTTTAAATTCGATTATAGTTGATGAAATTTTGAATAGATTGTTTCAATTCTTTAAATATGAACTTGACATTTTATTATTTTTAATTAATATTTCATTATTTTTTAATTAAAATAAGAGAAGATTTACAAATATATTATACATTTTTTTAAAAGTATTTCAGTACATAAATTTTAAATGTGTTGCAATATAAACTTAGATCTTTGTTATAACTCAAATAATGGCATAAACTTAATCTTAATCTCTTGCGACATTAGCAAATATATCTTAGTTAATTTTATCTAATTAAGTAAACACTTAGATTTTTTTCATCATATGTAGATTATTAAGTTTTAAATTAGTTTCGCCTCATCACTTATTATCTGCAAGATTTATATGTCTATTTATCTACAAATAATTGTCGGTTCGATTTGAATTATACTCTCATATATATCATATTTAAAAATTATTTATATTATATTATAATATAATTAATATATATTATATCACTTTATAAATTTATGAGCTTTAGTTAGCTAAATAAATAAATATGTTGAATTAATTTGACCTATATGGAATCATATCAATATATATATATATATATATATATAATATCGTGATTCCAATTTCTTCGTTGGATTCGAGCATAATGAAAATGAAAACTAAACATAATTACTTAAAAATAAAGGGTTGTTTTTTTTTTTTTTCTTCTTCTTAAATCTCAAAGATCCAATTTGATTAAGACTTTCAAATTATGGAATTTTGTACTGATTTCAATTTAAATAGGTCCTTTCCCATGTAATTAATATCTTCAAATTAATTAAAAGCAATCATGCCCTAATTAAACTAATTTGACAGAGTAGTTCAAGGGGTTATAATATATAATATATAATATATAAATCTTAAATGGGTCACAAAAGCCCGTGCATTTGCAGTTAATATAAAGGTTGAGCTATTCTATACCTGTGTGTGTGTGTGTGTATACATATATAAAGGGTGATTAAGTGGGTGCATATGCAACTAATGAGGATTTGTGTTATTAATTATATGATTAATTGATAATTAATTAAGGGTCAACAATTTTAGACGAGAACACATTCTGATTTCTAGCTAAAGCGTGTCTCCATACTTTAACTGCAGACAGAATATAGATTAAGTTGGTGGTGTCTTTGGTTTGTTTAAATTAATAGAATTAAAGAAAGTATTTTGTATTATGAATAATTAAATGATGTTCTTTTAGCTAATAAATTAAATAATGTTAGTCACACGTACATATATATATGGGGAAGTTGGATTTTTATGTAGAAATTAATTGGGCAAGATTGAGCCAAGTGTAAGATTTATATTAAGTAAGGTGGGGGTGGGGTTTTAATTGAGACAAATAGGGTTTGGACAAGGAAGAAGAAGACAATGCAGGCGCAGCAGCACAGCACAGCACAGTAGCCATGCGCGCTAAAACGACATGCCGAGTCAATTTCTATGAGCCCCCAACAACAGGATTCTTTGCTTTGTGGACAAAGATGCTTCACTTAAAATCTCCATCTATTTTTCCATCATCAATTATTGATTGTCGTTCCTTATACACACACACAAAACACTACATCCTAATTACTTTTTAAATTTACATTAATTCTTTTTTAAAATACCCACTTATTATTTCTATTTGTTCGTATACATTATTTGCCACAAATCATTCTCGTTCTAATTACATATACGTACGTACGCGTTGTCCAATAATTTAGATAAAGATTTTGTGGGAGTTACAAAGATTATTATACATTTATTTTTTTGGGTTGTCTCTCGGGTTATAAAACACCGAGTATTTCTTATAAGAAAAATATCATATCTAATTACTAATTTATAAACATCGTAATTCTACTAAAATACAAATAGAAAAAAAGCTTTAAAGAAGTTTGAGTTCAAAATATTAAACTTTCGAAGTATTGACTAAATAAGACTCAACTCCCTCATAAGTTAGTAGAGTGGAAATTTATTTTTTGCTCTTTTTATTTATAAATATATTTAAATGGGCTATAAATTATCTTGGGCCAAGAAGTCAATAAATGGGTTTCATAATCAAAATTACACCCACTAAGTTGAAAAATTAAGCCCATTTTCAAAATTAAGCCTAATGTTGTGTGCGTGTGCGTTTGTGTGTGTGTGTATACATATATATATATATATATATATATATTTATTATTATAAATTTTAATACATAAAGATATATTAATAACCATAAAAAGAACATATCAAATTCAAATTATATAGTCTCAAAGATTAACAAAAAAAATAAAATAAAATAAACTTACCCAAATTTAGAATTGATCATATTCGGATTTAGTAAAACTCGTACTACACTTGTCCTCGTGGATGCTCCGCCGTTCTTACTCTCATCCAAGACCTTACTCCATTTCCCATTTTTGATGGAGATTTTCTCCACAACTTCTTTTCTTTTTCTTCTCTAACAACTTTTTTTCTCTTCTCCTTCTCTTATCACATTGAGTTAGAGTAAGTATCTATATATATTCAAAATCAAATAATGTAATAAAATATGTAAAAAATTAATTAGTTCGTAAATGGAGGATATTAGAGACCTTTCAAAGTTAAACTATATAGATGAACAAGAGAGAGAGCCCATTGTTTTGTGAATTAGAATAGGAAAGTAAGATGATTGAAATATGATGAGTCCCACTATTTCCATCAATATATATATATATATATATATATGTAGTGCAATTAAAGTAGAATAGATTATAAATGAAGGCAATATATGTATATATATATATATATATATATATATGATAATAAATTGATTTCCCATAGCAATGAAAAACTCGACCCATGTTAGTATGTTACCTAAAAGATGGAAAAGAGCTTTTTGTTTGAAAAGATGGGGTGACACTCCTCAGAAAGTAGACACCATAATAATTCAACTCACTTCAAATTCAACCATGTGGAGACAATTAGTAGTGGGAGTGTATTTTCTATTTATAACCCCATCTTCATCATCATCATCTTTCTATTCAAAAAGTAGCCGTGAGTGGTGGATCTTGCAGCCACCCCACAAAATTACCACTTTACTTTTTACTTCCTTTTTTTTTTTTTTGTTCCTACAAAAAAATTCACACTTAAAAAACTTTCGTCGACTCCGAATTAATTAAAAATAAAATATCATTCGAACCCAAAATTAATTAGTATCAAATTTAGATAAATTTTAAATATTATATATGAATTTTAAATAATAAGAGTCAAAGTTGGCCAACGAAGAGATAAATAGATTCCTAATAATCTTTCAATAATAAAGAAATAAAAGTACAGAAACAAAAGATGTTTGCCCAAAAATAACTACTCTTGAAAAAGTGCATAGTATTTATAATAAATCATAAATTATATTGAATATTTTTTAAATTTAATTTGAAATAATTAACTTATACTTTAAGATGTATATATATATATACCGTGTTAGGTTTGTCTATCGGCTAGGTAGCCCTTATCAGTGATCAGAGACTCCATTTCTTCATTTCTTTTACCCATGTCTGTATGCCCCACTGGTAAATTTCAAGGACAGTGTGTACCAATTGTGGAAGAAATGGCCACCCCCATCAAACAAGTCATTCTCACTTCGTTATATACACACACACACACATGGAGAACTATATATATATATATATGTATATATTATATAACATGCTCATAAAAAAGGACCACCAATAATACACAAGTCTTATCACTCTATATTCTATTACATCAGTCACTACAAAATTTCAAAGAATATATATTGTCTTGCTCTTTCGTTAACATAGACTGATAAACACACACACACACACACACACACTCTATATATATATATATATATAGTACTGTAGCGAATATTTTCTTTCATCTTTCAATATCACTTTCTGCTCATCAGGGAAAAACAAATTGTCAAACTCACTTGCTGGCCGGCCCCATCGTCAGTACCATGCACTGCCTTCTTAATTCACATAAAATTACCACAACGTATAAATTGTTCTTCTCGCTAATTTACTTTTACAGCAAGATAAAAATCTCTTGGATCATCACACAAATAACACCGGTCTCATGGATACAAATCTTGATTATACACGTAGATTCAAATCCCTTTCGCATCATTTTTCTCAAAACAGAAGTAATAGTAATAATAATAACAAAACATGAGATTACAATCAATCCGATATCAAATTTTGATTACATCAACTCGATCGTCTCAATAATTATACAATAAATCATACACTATTAATGTTATAATTATACGTATTAGGAGTGAAACTAAAACTTAGGACCAGAAAAGAACCAAACGAGTAGCTCAGAAGGGATAGACAAGGGATGAGATTATGAGTTGGAAAAGAACTAGGAACCCTAATTGCTTAACTCTCTCTTAGTAGGTCATAAAAGAAAGTGTCTCGAGTAAGTTATAGAAAGACTAGAGGATTAAGCAATAGGTCTTACAAGGCCAAGAAAAGGCCTTACAAGGTCAAGAAGCGAAAACGGAGGGTCGAGAGAGGAAAAGCGACTGATCAAATGGGATGAGATGAAAACGGAATTTTAATAAAGCTCAGGTAAGATAGCGCCAACATAAATTTACAAACATAGTCTGACCTGCAATATAGTTAATGTTCTTCCCAAGATTTCTTTGATGAAGATCTCTCTAGTTTTGAACATGTCTTGGAATAGTATGTCGTTTCCTATGATAATCTCTGTCATGTTTCAACCCTCGGAAATCTGGAAAAAAAGAAAGATGTGGAAGATTGTTAGTAAAACATATATGTGCACATATATATATACTCTCTCCGTGTTTTGATTAAAACCGGAAGTGGGTATGTGAGGAAGAGGTGAGAAAATGAAGAAATAAGTTGAAAGAGATGATGAAAAACAAGATTCACTCATACCTTGGCTTTTAGTTTCAGAGAGAGAGAGAGAGAGAGAGAGAGAGTGGGAGAGGTTGAAGAAGGAATTCAGAAGGGGTTTTTGAAGGGAAAAAGTTTGTGGGGAGGGATATGAAAAGCACCAAAATTCAACTGACCCAAGTCCAGTAACTACTGTACAAGAGGTCCACATTTTTCATTACAAAAACGACGACGTTCGTATGTGCTAAGCTAATTTATACACCACTATCTGAATTCAATATCAATGTTAATTTAATTTGGTTTGGGCTGAATTCATTATACTGAATTTGCATTTTAATTTGTCAATAAATAAATTATAAAAAAAAAAAAATTAATTTGAATTGAATATTAAATTTAGCTGAAATTAGAATATTAATTTTATTTAAATAACTCTGTATTATATTCACATTATAACTAATTAAAACTTGAACTAAATTTCATTTTATTAAATTTTAGTTCTATTATTGCTTTAAATATTAATTTTATATTCGTTCAACAAATTTAATTATAATAAAATATTTTTTTTATCTGTGTACATTATGATTTAATAGAATAAAATTCAGTTTGATCATTATAATTTAATAAATACATTAATTATTAAATTATTAATTTAATTGACTTTATTAGTAATTATTCATTCATAATATATTTATAAAATAATAATTATTAATAAAATTTAAATTCGTAAATTTAAATAAAATATAATAATTTTAACATTTAAATCATGTATAATTGAAAATATGATAATTTGAGAAGGTAAAAAATGGTTTCATTTTTGGGTGAATAGTGTAAATATACTGCGATTTTGGCAATAATCAACAGACAATACATACACACACAGTATATATATATAATGAAAATTCTAGAAGTTATTTTATATATATTCCTTAATTTTTTTTTTTAAATATAACATCTCAAAATGTAGTAGATTTTTATATACAAATATATAAAAAGATCAAAGTAATAATTTAAAGACAAATAATTTTATAGAAAAATAAAAAAAAACCAAAAGTAAATTTGGATTGGAAAAAAAATGATTAATTGCAATTGCGGCAAATGAATAACACTGTAATTTTCTCACCGTAGAAATTAAGCAGTAAAAAAATCCACCTGAGCCGCACGTTATCCTATCAAAACCTTACTTTCTTCTCAAAACTTTCGCGCTCGAATAGGAGTATGAACCCGAGTTTCAGCCCCAAATTCTACTTTCTTTCTCTGTGATCGGTCGAACAAGCCCGGTTTCTTAATCAAACCCTTTTAGGAACTAAAATTAAAGCAAGTCATTGTTTTACCTCACAAGTCTCAGAATTGGCTGATTCACGAACCTAACCCAATAAGTGGTGCAAGTAAAACCCTAATTTCAGCCCCAAATTCTAATCTTTCTCAGTGATCGGTCGAACAAACCCGGTTTCTTAATCAAACCATTTTAGAATTAAAATTAAAGAACTCACCATTGTTTTACCTCCCACGTCTCAGAATTGGGTGATTCACGAACCTAACCCAGTAAGTGGTGCAAGTAAAACCCTAGTTTTTTTTTTTCTGGTTTGCAACTTGATTGACATGGATGCAAAAGACATTCTTGGATTACCCAAAACTCCGCTGCCGATAACCCAAGAAAAGAAATCACGACCCCAGAAGGACTCCCAGAGAAAACCCGATGGCATATCTCGCGAGGTTAGTACATCTATATGTATAAGTGCGTGTATACTGTGGTTGTGCTTCTTAATAAGCGAAAATCGTTATTAATTTTTAACCGCAGGTTTATGCGCTTACGGGTGGTTTGGCACCTCTCATGCCATCAATTGATGTTTCTCAGTTGAAACGACGTCCAGCATCAGACGAAAAGGTTGGTAATTCTTAGGTTATGAATGTACCTCAACGGCAAGATGATTTCAGTAATGCAATTGATGATGTTCCTTCATGTTGTGATTACACTGAGCTTTGTGCATTGTCAGTATGGAGCCGTCTTGCTGTTATTGTAGTTGATTTTGAACATTGTGAATTTGTTTGGAACAAGTGAATGTCACAAGAAAAAAAGTAATTGTATCTACAAATCCAGATTGTACGTTTGGAATTATTCCAAAGGAAGTAAAAAAGTACTTTTCCAATTTTAAGAATTTTATAGAATTTGGAACTTGAGAATTTGGAGGGAAAAAAGCTTGGAATTGCTTCATGAACTGTGGCTTTGTCAAGCATATTAATTAGAGAATTCCTAAATTATTTTAAGGAATAATGATTTTTCTCTCTAAAAAAGTAACAATTTGGTTCAAAAGTTCATTTTTGGGAGTGACCCCTTTTTAACTTCTAGAACCCAAATTAGTGAATTCACCAACATACATATTTTTTTTTTTTGAGATAAACCAACATACATATTTATATATTAAATGAGAAAACAGGCATATATAATCATAGGGCACTACCATTTGACCAAATGGTTTATATGCAAAATTGGTCTGGACATGAGATGGAAACTTTATATATTCTGAACAAAGCTTATAAAATTCAACTCTGTAAAACTTGGGAAACAAGTGATAAGTGATTCAGTCATGTAAGAGATGATTTGAGTTATTTACATCTTACAGTAGCTTGAGCTCATTCTTGCCATTTAGGTTTGTCTTCTCCTTTTTTTTGTGGTGGATGGATGCATGAAAATTAATGTTGCACTGTCAGTCAGGTACAGTTTTTCTATTTAATTTGTTTAGTTTATTAGATGAAATATTTGAGATTTGAAAGTTGCTTTTCAGTTATATCAAGGGGAAGAATACCAAGTTCTTGTCAGTTACTGGACTAGTCCTTGTGGATTCAGTGACATTGTCATTTAAAAATTCTTCTACCTATTATTAGTTAGTATTGTTAGTTTAAAATACCTTTTATGGAGAAAACTTTAAAAGGTAAATTGAATTGCTTACATGTGCAACATTATCATATGGTATGTTATAAATATAAATAATAATAATAAATCCTGCTGAGTCTAGATTAATCGCAGATAGTAGGCACAGGATTACTGTGATTTGAGCTGACAATCCAATCCAAGCTACGCATCTACTGGGGCTTTGGATGCACATCAAGCTTAAAAATATACTCATTTCTAAAAGCTATCACTACCATTAAAGGAGAATGTTATAGACTATTCAAACCTACAATATTTATCATAAGTACTTACAGTTGTAAGAATTTGATATTAACAATTCTAAAGTATTAGTTTTTTTAAAAAAATCCAGCAGTTAAATATTTACATTGATAATTAATGTTGTAACTTGAACTTATTGGAACACCATCCTCATGAGAACCATATTTCTAGTATTGTTATGATGGCTAATCTTGAAATAAATGATACACCTTGATAAATTAAGCTTATTGTTATGGCACATCTTTGTGGACATTTATTTTCCGTTGTATTCTAAAATGAATTCAGATGATGTTTGATCATATCTCTTATGAATGACGCTTAGTTTCCACTCCTATTTTACTTTTTAGATTGCAATATGATTTTTCAATATATTTAAATCCTCCTTATAGATCACTTGGCAATGGCTTCCTTTTACGAATTCTGCTCGGAAAGATAATTTGCAGCTTTACCATTGGGTATGTCTCATTTTTAATAAATTTTGAATTTTCTATATATATCTAATCACTCTCCTCCTTTGTATATATAAGGAGTTTTTATATCTTAACGGCAGGTGAGAGTTGTAAATGGTGTTCCTCCAACTGGTGACTACTCCTTTGCCAAATATAACAAGGTATTCTTGAATTCACTCTGATTCTTGTGTAGATTATGCTGTAATAGACCGTATGATGTCCTTTTAATTTTCCTCATTTTTATATATGGCACTGAGTCAGTTTCTTATCGAATTTAATCTGTTAGCTTCTTCTTTTTGGTGCAGTTGGTTGATGTTATCAAATACACAGATGAGGAGTACGAGAAGTATTTAACTGATCCTGTAATTGTCAACTTTTCTATTTCACATTGTTTTAAGCAGGCCTTGCATCATTTTGAAATCCTAAAGGAACTACATGAGCTGGACTGTGTATAAGTGGTTGATCAATGGATTGAGTCTCCCTCCTCGCTCTCTTTTGACATATAACTATTTTGTCTTCACCAGATGTGGACAAAGGAAGAGACAGATCAGTTATTTGACTTGTGTGAAAGATTTGATCTCCGGTTCATTGTGATAGCTGATAGGTTCCCATCATCTCGGACTGTTGAGGAATTGAAGGAACGCTATTATAGTGGTGTGTCTCTTAGGTTGCTTCCTGTCAATCCCTTATCAGTGTTTAAAACATTTACATTGTGGTCTTGAATTCTAATTTGAATTCTTTCTATATGTTCTTTATTAAGGACTTGTAAAAGTTGAAGTCTAATAAGTTTTTGATTGTCTTCTTGATGAATGTGCAACTACTTCACATAGTATCAAGGGCAATATTGATTGCAAGGGCTCCCTCTCCTGGGGATGTTGCAAGTCACCCTCTTGTTAAGGTCTGTAACTTTATTGGTGTTCTTTTCAGTTGTTTTTGTTGGCACAAATGGTGAGCAAATGTAACTAGTTGATCAAGGTAAAAATAAAATAAAAAATGAACACTTGTAATTTTCACAAGAAATGTAAAAAAAAAAAAAACAAAAGTGCAAAAGAATAAAGTATAGAGCATAATATTGTTTTAGATTGCTGTGGTCCTTAAATGACCTGTCCTACTACCCTGGTGAGTGGTAGTCAAGACAATGGATGTAGGTCATTTGCAGATTGAATGAGTTTGAAGGTTATAATCTTCTTTACTTTTTTGCTTTTCATTTCTTTGTGAAAACTATAAAGGATCACTTCTAATTTGACTTATGCCTTGATCACCTATTCATCCACCCTTCACCATTTGTATCATCAGTTTATCGAGTTAATATATATAAAAAAACTATATTCTGAATATAAAGGTACTCTATATTTCTTTTCCTTCCAGTTTACTACAGTTTGTAATATGGACTTGGGGCTAGTGAGTGTATTATTTTGTTATAGTTTATGATCTACCATCTTGCGTAGGAACCGTATAACCTTTCACAAGAGAGAGAACGCAAGCGAGCATTATCCATGGTACTCTCGCAGACAAAACAACAAGAGCGGAAAGATGCTGAGGTCTATTCAACATCTTGAGAAATTCTTGAACTTTGTTTTAAGGACAGGAACTTTGTAATAGAGGATAAAGGGTTTAATTCTCGTACTCATTCATGCTCTCAGGTTCTTGCTGAAGCAAAAAGAATACAAGAGACACGCATGGCTGCACGTGTAAGTATCGTGTAGATATGTTTTTGTGTCTCTTCTTTTGGTATTAACCTCCAGAATTGCTATTGAGTGGGTGGGCATTTGCTCATCACATTTCTTAGTAAATCCACTACCTAACGGAAATGACTTTGAGATTATCTTTTAACGTTTATCTAATTAACAATTCAAAAGTGGTCTTGGCTGGGACCAATTGAACGAAAATTCATGAATATATTTTTTTTGCTGTTCGTCAGGGTGCTGAAGAGCCTGAATTGCCTGTCACATCCAATGCTGTTACTGAAAGTGCTGATAAAGCTGTAGTTCCTGGAGATACTGTATCTCCTTCATCCAATGCCCAGCTTCCTGTGACAGCAGTTGCACCATCAGCGTTAGCAGTGGCAGATAATGCTTCTACTCTTGCTTCTTTACGAATGGTATGTTTGACTGTCTTTTTTAGTTGCGCAGCCATCCTTCTTCTCTCTTTTTCTCATGCTTGAGAGTATGTCCTTTAACTGATTTGAGAAAATTTCAGCTTTGGGTGTATTTAAGAACTTATGCACTTGAGCAAATGGTGCAAGCTGCAAGCTCTTCTGTTGGCCTTCGAACTATCAAGCGGGTTGAGCAGACTTTACAAGATCTTGGGGTTTGTTCTTGCTCCTTGAACTATTGGGACTGTATAAAGCGCATTATGTTCTCCCTCTTTCTTCTGCTTTAGTTTGCAGGATATTCAATTTTCTCAACCAAAAACCTTTTGATGTCCTGAAGATATTTGCCTTTGATCTCTCTCATTTATTTTTACTAGTTGTCAAGGCATTTTTATTTCTTATCTAATAGGAGTTTATCCAACTCTGAACAATCATTAATTTGATTTTATAGACATATATATTCAGATTGGCTGAAGAGAAGTGCTTTTTCTGTGGTTATTATCTTTTGCTATATTATTATAGATCATGGATTCTCATCAATTAGGGAGAAAATTGTCCATGTCTTTCATCATCCTGTTTGTTTTTAAAAGCATTTCTAGTTTAAGCGCAACTGACCAATTTTTGGCTAAGGAGAGTTGAAACTCTGTAGGCTCAATAGGAATAAAATTCAAAGGTCACAGACTCATATACTAGTGTGGGAGGAGCACCCCTGAACCTTTGGATTTTTCATTTACTGGAATGTTATTTAGTGTCAGATGCTTTTTGATTGGATAGCTAATTTTTTCTACATGAGAGATTCTAATTAGGTTTTCTTTAAGAAAATGGGCACAGATCATGAATTCTTTCATCTTTACAGGTTAATCTAAAACCAAAAGTTCCAACAAAAACTGTTTGTGCAGAGCATCTTGAATTAAGAAAGGAAATACTTACTCTGTTGAATCTTCAGAAGCAGGTATTTATGTGATGCATGATTGTTGAACTACATGTATAATAATACTAGGCTATGTATGGAACAAATTCAAAATTTGTGCAATTCATTTTCAAACCTGTACTTTTTTAAACTAGAAAATAGTGGAAGTCTTACCTAAATTGATAAAAATTGAGCTCATAGGAAATTCATATGGAATTTTGTTTGAGTTTTATTTTTATTATATCTCAATAGAAGTTACAGTTGTTATAGTTAAGAGTGAGTATGTATTTGCAAATGAATTTATGCAAATTCTAGATTTATTCCAAACATGGTCTAAGAGCTTTTGAGCTCTGAATTTGTTGATTTCTTTGTAATGGTAACATTTTAACTTTTGTGCTTCAGTTGCAATATAAGGAGGCAGAAGGTTCATCATTCCGTGAAGGCTCCTTTGTTGAAATGCCAGGCAGTCCTAAAGTTTGTAAATCTAATTTTTTATTGTTCAACCTCCTTTCTTGTTGGGTTTGTATGTTGTAAACATGCTAGTTTCCTTTCTTGATTTTATTTTTTGAATATATGCTCCTGAAATTTTAATAGCGTTTGTTTCGTGGTGCGGACCAGGATCGAACATTTGTTCCAGATTCCTTTGGTTTTGGAGGTACTATGGAATGAGGCAATTTTCATTTGTCTTCATTTTCTCCTTTGCAAGACAAACACACCGGTTTATTGATGTTTAACATTTCTGCTTGATTGGATTTTAGGGGAAAGAGTTGGGAAACGAGACCAGAAGCGCAAGGTGTGAGACAGTTTTTGTTATTTTGTATTTCCACATTGCTTCTGCTTCCCATGTGCTTCTTGCAACCAGACTTGACCTTTCCTTGAACTTACTGTTTTCCAGGGACCTGGAAGGCAATTGGAGGGTCCATCACCAGCCCATAAAAGGCCTAGGAAGATGAAAGCTCCTGATCTCTAGTTCTACAAGGTGCAGAAGCTAATTAACTGTAAGTAAGGTGTATTCTCGTTTTGCTAGTGACATTCGAGTCATTGGTACTTTTTTTGTTCAAACCGATGATCTATCCCCCATGTAATTGTTTGCCTAATGTAGAGCGATCGCAATGAAATTAACATTCTATTTTTTTTTTTTCTAATCTTTAATTCACTATGGAAGTTGTCAAAGTTGTTTCAAGTTTCATCTAATCCATTGCTTTGAATTTGATGAGGCATCATCAGTCCAGGTCGGGGTTTAAAATATTTTGCGGGAAGCCGATACAGAAGCTCTCCAAATTTTTTTGAGCCTTCGTACCTTGAAATGTTTAAAGTCATGTTTTACATGATGTAACGAGAGCCTGAACTTGCAAAAGGCCGAGGATAGGATGAATCTGACATGAATACCACCTTGTTGGTGTTATGTAAATTCTTTGTTCACTTCTGATAGTTATTGGGGATCATAATCCAGTTGGAAACCGATGGTTCTGAATTAATACTACGCTACGTAAATAAATGATGTATGTATATATATATATATATGTATATATATACAGATCTGTATTTCCTGAAAATTTTTCTTGGCAATGTATTAAACTTCAGCTCTTTGTTGTTCGTACGAAGTCAACGTTGGATAATATTTTGTTTGTAGTGGTTTCATTAATATATTAATATATAATGTTGTATGATAATAGTAAAATTATATTATATTTAAAAAAATTATGTATTAATGAATAATAATTATAGTTGTTTTTATTTATATTAACAGAATGATATTTTTATATATTAAGTTAAATTAATAATTTATTTATATAATATTAAATAAAAAATATATTTATTTTTAATTTATAATTTAATTATTTAAAATAACAAAAAAAATTTATTCTGAAAAATAAAAATTTAATTTTTTAATATTAAATATAAAAAATTATTTTAAAATTATAATTTTTTATTTATGATTATAAATTAAAAAAAAAAAATCTAAAAATTAGTTATACTTCTCTTTTCTTTCTTTATTTCTCTTTTTTTTTTATTTTTCTTTATTAATTTTATATATACACACATATAGATATATATCTTCTTAAATAAGAAAAAAGAAAGACAGGAGAGAGCAAGGAGAGAGAGAGAGAGACAGCGACTGTGAGGGGAAGAGAGAGGGAAGCCGACCGACATCGACGGCCGAGAGCAGAGAGTCGCTCGGTGTTGCGTGACACAGCGATCGCGCAAAGGAGATAGAAGAGAGGGAAGGAGATGCGTCGGAAGAGGAAGCGAGGGAGAGAAAGGTCGCGAGGAGAGAGAAGAGACGCGGTTGGGTACAAGGGAAAAAGGAAGAATAAGAAGAAGAAGAAGAAGAAGAAGAAGAAGAAGAGATGAGATAAGAAGAAAAAGTAGAGGAGGAGAAGACGAAACGTTGAGGATATTCAGAGAGAATGATTTTGAGTTCAAATAGAATTAATAAAATATGATGAGAGTATAAATGAACAAAAAAATGTTATTATTAAAAAATTACCGATTCAGTAATCTGTAAAATTTGCTAAAATGAGGGTTTCAAATACCATCCAAGTAAAGTGAATCCAAAAAAGATAAAACTACGAGGGTATCATTCTATACATTAATTATCCATGAACCATACGACAGATATTTATTAACTCTTATCATTACTCTGAAGTTTGGTGTTAGAAAGTAAAACATTTTTATGTTCTTGTCTTGTAGTTTGTCCTGATTATTTGGTATGAGCGTCCAGAAACCACAGCCTTTTGTTACCGCAAACCTTTTGTCAGTTTGTGATTCAATCCTGTGGCTGAGCCTGAGATGAACCCAGTAGAATCTTGCACTCTTTTGACTTGGAAATGCGAGTGAGTGGCGAACCATGCACACCCTCATTGCTGCAACCTCCTTCAGGCTTCGTCCCAATCTGAAACCCTTTCGTTACAAGCCCCGTTGCAGCTTGAGCAAGCAGAAGACAACTAGTAGCCTTGCAAAAACTTGGCCCTCGGTTTCTCTTTTACTTTTTGGTTCAGGCTTCTTCTTGGGTCCCCTTCTTGATGGACTTCATTCAAGGGTAAATCTTGTGGTGTACCAACATGGGTCAATCGATATTGGTCCTCTCCACACAAACATCTGGGTACCTGGATCTTTCAGTCCTTCATAGATTTTTCTTTTCTCTTGTTGATTTTTCCCGGAAAATCTCTGATAATTATTTTGTGGATATGCTGTCAGGTTCCTTTCTTGCTTGGGTCCTTTTACTGTACAGTGGGGCTGCTACAGTTATTCTTGGATGAAAAGGCCTCTTCAAAGGTTTCAGATGGAAGCTTGGAGAAAACTGCTGTTTCACTGATGTGAGTCTTCAGTTCGCTGTTTCCTTAAAAAAGTAAGAGAAGAATCAAGTCTTGTTCTACAAAAAGTTTTGTCTTTGCAACAGAAGATGAAAAGGATGTTGGGGAAACCAGAAAGTTGAAATTGCATTTTTTCTAATTTCTGATCAATGTAAGCATAGATTATCTCATTAATTCCTACAATCTTCCTGAAAAACAGAGCATTAGTGCTGTTTATCGCATCGAGTGCCGAAATGTACAAGGCTGGAGTTCCAGATAACATTGAGGCCTATATACTATTTGCAGCAGCAGAGTTGATCTGGTTCTCTCTGGACAGGACATGGTTTGGGTTCTTCCTAGCGTCTCTTATAGGCATTGCCTGCCCCCTTGCTGAAATTCCAATTATGAAGTAACTTTCTGTCTTTCTTAGCTGAAAAAACATTCATTAACGCCCGTCTAGTTTAATTCTCCCCCAATTTCTAGTTCCAATTTTCATATTAATTTTATTATACATAATTAGAACTAAGCTTCTTTACTTTTTTAAAAGCGGGAATTAAATTTCTAACATCAAAGAATTCAAGATTGAATTGTGATATCTCAAACACCACAAATTATGTTTTAGTTACTTTTTTACTAATGTTAAAATTTAAAGTAGGAATTATATGGAAGCTGAAACAAATGCAACCCCATAACCATTTAATTTTAGGACTTGCTGCTAATTCATCTGTTTGATGCTACTAACAGGTTGTTCCATCTTTGGTACTACCCCCAAGCAAACATAGAAATCTTTGGCCAGGTAAGATCACACCATGGAATAGAGGTGTTTCTTCATAGCTTAAGCTTACTGTGAGTAATCTGAGTGGCACTTCTCTTTGCAGGGACTAGTAACTTGGACCGTAACTTGCTACTTTGTTTACACGCCGTTCTTGATCAATTTATCACGATGGTTGAGAAAAGTTGTAATTTCTGTAGAGACAAAAGATCAATCTGCATAGCTGGAAGAATTTAGTGGGGCATTTTTCTCGCTTCTTCGATAGACATCCAATGAAACAAACTAGTCAAATTGATGAGGAGCTTCTTATCTAAAAAGAAAAATCATGTTGGATTTGCAAATTTCTTATCAGGCTTGCAGACAGATTATTATTAGCAATGGAACTAAGCTGAATTGTAATGATAAACTTGACGGAAGGAATCATGCTGGAAATTATGTGGATATTTTGCAAAGTTAAATAAGTATATCAAATCAATTCACATGTTTCAGATTCAAATATAAATAGTTTAATACATAAGTATGCTTATAGAGTTATAGATTTGATGGATGTACACAAGATAAGCCAGTCGGATCAAGGTATCATATGTGAAGAGAAACAGAGAATTAAATTCATTTCAGATAAATCTAAAGCATGATTACAATTACAAAATTTTGTATCCTTTTACTGAGAAAAGTGATTTCAAAGTTACAAGTGTTAAAGCTTGAGATCCCATGCATGGATAATACAAGATGCAATCTCTACAAACCCATGTACATCTCACATGTTCATGACTTGATATAGCTCAAGCTCATGCCAATAGCCATACCAGCCTCATAAAATGAAGCTGGACACTTAAGCCAGCTCATATTATAGAAGAAAAACCTAACCAATTAATGAAACATCCAAAATATCTGGGAACTTCTCCTTGATCGCCGCTTTGATTCCTGATGCAATGGACTCAGGCCCTGTATACTTAACAAGGCAATTTCCACCTTCAACAGATACCACTTCCACGCTCCCACCATAATTCTTAATGGCTGGTCGTAATATATCAAGATGACCATTCACCGACTGCAGTCACATGGCATGTAGAATTTCATAATTACCAAAACATTTTATTTATTGTAAACAGAAAGAAATAACCATAGATATTTTAACCTATCAGCTCTTAATCTTATATACTTTCTGTATCAAGTCATGTTAAGAAGAAAAGTCACCTCCACAGTTGTCTCTGTTACTTCATCATCCACCACTTGGCGAATATCTTTCACTGCATCTCCAAATTTTTCTTTCAATACTCTTTCAATACCCATCTTCATTGTTGTTGTTGAGCTAGGGCAGCTACCACATGCTCCTATTGCCAACAAGTAAAAGCTTAACTCGGTTACTTAGCTTCCCGTGGTGATATAATATGTTAAACATGCATTCAAGTTCCTTTTTCTTGCTTTGCAAATAGGAAGAAACTCTACAAGCTTTATCTTTCAAGAAGCATGGCAGACACAGGCACATGACCAGCAAAACCCTGTGCAGTTAGGAATTTTATGCTTAAGACTCTTATCCACTTTCCTGCTAAATGATGTTTTTTTAACCTCAAGAAAGCTGACCCAGACACAGGAATGTAAATTACTTTATAAGGACCCTTGACTACTATCTATAGAACAGTGTTCTATGAATTGACAATTCTATTTCTTATTAGTCAGGTAATGTTAGTCAAGCACTAAGCCTAGTGATAGGAAATTGGGAAAAGATAAAGATAATTTTACATTCTGCACCTACACCGAACAAAATCATGTAAATTTTGATTTTCCACTGCATAACCTATTAACTACTTGAAAATCTGTGGAAGAAATCAAATAGAATAATACTGAAACAGATGTAGCACTATAATGACGATGACGATAAACAAATGGGAAAAGCAAGAGAGAAAAGAACAGACCAGGATTTTCAAACCTAACCAAGCAGTAATTTTTTTTTTTTTGAAATAAAAAGTGTAATCTGTATATTAACATGGTACCAATACAGGGATACAGCCCGTGTACAAAAGATTTACAATAGTATTAGTGTATCAATAATATTCACAAAATCCACATCACTAATAATGTTTTGACCTAATAATATAAACCCAAAATAATGTATCCACCTATTTTTTAATATATTAATACTACTTTTCTCACTATCAAAAGTTATACTATTCTTCTCTTTTCAAATAACCCACAAAACACTCAAAGGGATTAAATTTGCTATCTTGTTTTTTACACATAAACCATACCAGATCCATATCTCCCCCCCAACCAACCCTGCAATAACCCAATCTATCTCCAAAAGACCATATATCATAGTCCACAGGCTGTATGTAGTAGGACACCACAATAAAAGGTGGTTGCATGACTCCTCCGCCTTCAAACAACAATAACATCCATTCACCGAAATCCATCCTCTAATTTTCAACTTGTCGATAGTTTAAATCCTCTCCCAACAAGCTTCCTAAACAAAAAATGTAGTACAAGGGGGAATTTTAATTTTCCAAATTTGTCTACCCGGAAAATTACTTCTACCAGCATCACCCATCATACTCAAATGATGATAATATGAAGAAACAGAAAATGTGTCATTCCTTTCCAACTTCCATATAGGCTGGTCATCACAATTCGAAACTTGCTGTGTAGCACGCAGCTGCATCAAATCTTCGAACTCACCAATCTCCCAATCATTCAAATTTCAGTTGATATTAATCGACCAAACAACATTCCCATTTGAAATCTGGTAAGCCTCCTACACAACAATGTTATTGGTTTGAGAAATGCTGAAAATCCCGGGAAACTTTCTCATAAGGCAGCCATCGCCCACCCATTCGTCTTCCCAGCATTTAATCTTGTTTCCTCTGCCAAACTTCCACTGAGTACATTACAAAAGACAAGACCTCTGCATCAATATTTTCCTCCATAAACATCTCCCATGAGGGATAGATATTTGGATATTACCACTTCAAGCCATAAGCTCACCCCACTGAGAATCCACAATCCTACGCCATAAGCTGTTTTCCTTCCTCAAGTACCTCCATAGCCATTTGCCATGAAGGGCATCATTCATTTTTACCATTGATCTAATGTCAAGCCCCCCATATATGAGTAGTTATTTTATAACATCCCATTTTACTAAGTGATATTTACGATCTTCTTCAATGTCACCCCAAAGAAACTGATACTGAATGACTTCCAATTTTTTAGCCACCTTCACCAAAGTAGTTATTGTCGAGAGATAATATATTGGAAGATTAGCTAAAGTACTTTTGATAAAGGTGAATCTACCCCATTTAGAAAGGAAGTTTTTCTTCCACTTCGCAAGCCTTTTCTCAAACAATTTGATAATCAGTTCTATGTAATTTGATCCTTCTATTTAGCACCTAACGAGATCCCAAGATACTTGAAGGGGAATTTGACCTCTTTACACCCCAAAATCTTAGCATAGGACCCAACATCATCACTGCCACCAATCCTAGCCAATTCAGATTTGTTAAAATTTATTTTGAGACCCGAAACAGCTTGAAACCCTCATAGAGCACATTGCAAATGTAATAAGTCCCTTAATTCTGGTTGACAAAAATAAGCGTGTCATCCGCAAAGAAAAGATGGGACACATCCGTTATATTCTCCATGCTCCCCACCGCAACTCCCCTCATCAGCTGGAGTTCTTTCGCCCTACCAAGAAGCTCGTTAAGAGCTTTCATAACCACAATAAATAGAAGAGGAGATAGAGGATTTCCTTGTCTTAAGCCTATCGAAGCATTAAAGAAACTGGAATGACCCCCATTAATCAAAATGACAAAGGAAGTTGTTGTGATACAAGATTTCGTCCATTTCTTCCATTTTAGCCCGAATCCTATCCTAAACAGCATATAATCGACAAAATTCTAGTTAACATGGTCATATGTTTTCTCTATATCTAATTTACACACCAAACCATCCTTTTTATTAGTCATTAAGTCATCTATCGTTTCATTTGCAGCCATCACAGCATCAAAGATCTATCTTCCCCCCACAGAAGCATTTTGACAGTCCCCTATACCTCCCCTAATACCTTGGATAATCTGCTAGCCAAAACCTTAGTAATAAGTTTGTAAATGCAGCCCACCCGACTTATAGGTCTGAAATCTTTAAACTCATTTGCACCACTTCTTTTAGGGATAAGTGACATAAAAGTGGAGTTCAAAAACTTTACAAATTTTCCCGATGAATGCAGATCATTGAAGATATCCATAATGTCCACTTTCAAGAAAAGCCAAAACATTTGAAGATAATTCATGTTAAATCCATCAGGACCCGGAGCTTTATGCCATTATAAGATTTCAAGCCCTCTAACACCTCTTCCTCGGTGAATTCAGCTTCCAACCACAACCTACTCTCTCCAGAAATACTGCTGAAATGCAAACCATCCAAACCAGGTCTAATTATGCCATCTTCCTCAAATAGCTGTGAAAAATATCCTCTGGCAGCCTCTCTCAGTTCAGTATTACCAGAAATTTTCTTCTTGTCGACCCAAACCTCTTCAAAATAATTGCATCTGCGTCTATGAGAAGCTAGAGCATGGAAGTACTTGGTATTCCGATCTCCATCCTCCAACCATTTCTCCCTGGATTTCTATCTCCATATCATTTCCTCTTCCTTCAAAAAAGAAGCCAGCTGTAGGTTCAAAGACCTACTGCTTCCTCTCTAGAGTCCATATCATTGATCTCAGCTATAACAGAATCAAAAAGCATTTTCCTTTGCTCCAACTCCTCTTTAGCCCATTCTTTGATTGCGTTCTTCAATGCCTTATGTTTGTGGGCAAACCTGTAGCTAGCACAGCCCTGAATATCACTGTTTTTCCATGTCTCTTCCACCAACTGGCGAAAGTTTTCCTTCCCCAGCCACTTATTATCTAACCGAAAAGGAATGAGACTCCACTGGATCCCTTCGGCCTCAATGCAGATAAGGTAATGATCAGATATACGTCGAGATAATGTTTTTTGATTAACGCAAGTCAAATCTAACAAAAAGCAAGAGATAAAAAATCTATCAATCTTAGATTTACTCTTTTGATTGGACCAAGTCCATTGCTTCTTAGATAACAGGAGATCAACCATCCCCAACCTCTCCATCACTTCTTTGAACTCACTGGCTTCTGAAGTCGAAAAGCTACTACCACGTCTCTCTTCCCTTCTCAAAGTCATATTGAAATCACCGCCAATGATCCACTTACCATCCCATTTATTTCTACACTCCTCCAATTCATTCCATAGCATTGATTTCTCCTCTCTATTCCCTCTGCAATAAACCCCAGTGAACATCCGCTATGCACCCCCCAAGTTAAAAATGCACGACAATGTGCATTCTCCCTTTATAACCTTTACACAATTCACTTGCTCCTCCTTCCACAAAATGATCAACTCACCAGCCGTACTCTTAACAGGAATAACATTCCAGTCCTTATCCTTTACACTCCACAGGCTTTCAATCATCCATTTGGAAAAATCTTCCACTTTTTTTTCTTGCGGACATACCGCATAAGGCTTCCATTTATTCAGACACCCTCTAATGATGAGTCGTTTACCTCTGTTGTTCACCCTGAAAACATTCTAGAAAATTACTCTACCAATCATTCACAGATTATCATAACCCCACCAACTGCCTTACCACCTCCTCTCCTAGCATCATAATTTATAGTCGCCTGCAATCTTTTTAACTCCCTTGAAGTTCCACTACCCAATTTTTTCTTTTCTTAAAACATTTCTTTTTTTCGATTTCAGAAAAGAAAAGATAGGATAGATTTTCCATACTTGCTAAAAACACCCCTATCATCTTGCCGAATTTTTGTACATTATTGGCAACCCACTGGGAGCAGTATTCTACGTCACATGCTGAGAAGTTAACTCCTTCCAAGCTCAACTCAATAATCTCTTCTATTTCTGAATAATTGGCAGTTGCAATCGCCTGAGCATCTTCGTCGACCATGACCAACTCAAAGTTCTTTGTCTCAGTCTCCTCACAAGGAACTTCAATCAATAGACTCCCATCTCCCTTGAAGTCCTCCATAGTGGAGAAAACTGAACACATATCATCTTCCTCTCCTTCACTAACTGCCATTGAAACATCAAAGACTCCTATGCTTGCATCGCCCACAAATTTTTCCACTTCACTAAGCCCTAGTTTCTCCTTTTCAAATTCCTGTATTTTCTCCAAATTTACGTGTAACTCAGGTTGATACACCTCCATTACTTTAGTGCCCGAAGACTCACCCCGGGTCGGGTTACTAGCAATAGCAGGATTTGGTTTAGGATATGGGTCCCCAGCAAAATCCGGCCTCGCAAACCATTTCTCCTTTTCTTTCCAAGTGAAGCGTTTCTTCTCGCCCAACCCTTTATTTTAAAATTGAGTCTGACCCACAGTGTTAAAGACTCCATCACCCTTGAGACCAAAATGACGGGTACTCATAGTGTTTTGGAGTTTACCCAAATACCGATAACTCGCCTGGTTCTGCCTCATTGGGACAATCTGAACCGAATTGCCCTCAGGTTTCCTCTGCCCTACCTGCTTTGAGCTTCCCTCAAAGGATTGCAGCGCAACCGCATATGAATGTGCTACCTCAACTTCCATCAAAACGTTAATCGGCACATTATAATGAGGGCACTGAAAGGATACTTTCCATGGTTGTTTCAGCTGACTAACTTTCGCCTTGGATTCACCAAGTTAACCCTATCATATTCTGCAATGGGAGTAGAATTTTTAACGGGTCTGTCAGCGAGCTTGAATGCAACCAACATTAACTTCCACCATCCTCTTCCTTGCATTCCTGCTGGAAAAAATATTCTCTTTAACTGTCGATCACCTTGCATCATTAATGCCAGATACTAACCCCTCGTCTGTTTCTACCAAATGACGATCACCTTGCATCTTGTAATTTCTTTTTACAAGATGTTTGGCCCATGTCCCCGGCCTCCTTCTCCACCAAAAGTCGTCAAGAGCATCTAAAAACCGGCAATATTCCTCTTTATCAAGAAAGATCGAATGACGAAAACCATGCCCCTTTTTAGTAATCCACAAACCGTCCTGTAACACCCAAAATAATTTTTTCTATTTTATTTTTTTTGATTTAATTTAATTTAAATTAATTTTTGTGAATATAAAAATATTAATAATGATAAAATTGGGTAAAAATATTATTTGGGTTTAATTGAAATTGATTTTGGAAAAAAGGGGTGAAAATTTGGATTCTGGGGGTGTTTTTGAAAAGAAATTCGAAAACCGGGGGTCAAAACGCAATTTAGAAAAATTGTGCCCCGTCAGCGCCACGTCAGCAGTCACGTCAGCGGCCCAGTCAGCAGCCCTTGCCAACCAGGACCTGCTGCGTGGCAAGGCCACGCCGACCCGGGAACGGGCCACGTGGGCGATCCGCGTGCACGCGATCGGATGGCCCAGATGCGTCCCCACGCGCACGGACGACCCAAATTTAATCCAAATTAAATCGCGATCGAACAGTTCAGATTAAATCAAGATGGACGGCTGTGATTAAAAGGCAAAGGGTATAAATAAACCCCCCACACCTGACCACAAAAACCCTAGCCGCCAGCCCTCGCCGGAGAAGACGAACCAGACGCCGGAAGAGCCGACCGCCGCCACCCGCCGCCACACCGGGGAGTTTTCCGACCGCCGATCGAGGTAAATTTCATACCCCCGGCTCGTTTTTCAATGTTGAGTTCCCCTGTGGCCAAATCGGAGGCAAACTCCGGGCCAAACGGCTGGAAAATATGGTCGAAACCCAGCGGCGCCGCCGCGCCCCTCCTCGGTTTTTGCCTCCGATGAGGCCCTTCCCGGCCTCCGTTTGATACAATTTTTATATCACCGTGATCACCATTCTTTTCTCTACAGGTTGATCGGAGCCAAATCACTAAAACACGAACCACACCGGAGAGCCGCCGCACCCGAGAGCACCGCCGCACCCGAGAGCACCGCCGCCAGTAAGCTTCGGTTTTTCGTAATTTTTTGGCCCCTCGAGAGCTCTAGGGTTGTTTTATCGCAGGGATCGATGCAAGTGTGGCCGAATTCGGCCGAAAACGGCCAACCCGAGGCGAATCGCCGCCGCATGCGGCGGAGCTGCCGTGCCGGAATTGCGATATTGGCCGAAAGGGGCCCTAGGTCTAATTCTGAGATTTTTGGGACACGTGCAGGTACCGGTAGCGTGTTTCAGTTTTTCAGAAAAAAATTCAAGAAATTTAGGGATAATCCGCAGGCGCTCGGAAAAGCCTATTTCGGGTCCTGAAAACAAGTAAGGATTCCTCACCCTATTTTCTATCACAGTATTAAAGTGCAATAAATGATAAAACGGTATTTCATGAATCAATAGCTGTGTGAAATTGTTTAAGGTTGCTAATGGAGCCCGAGTCTGGTGTATTCGTCGGTCAGTTGTTGTTTGTTCTATTTTACAGTTTTAAATGCAGTATGATGTCTGATGTTTTCACTTCATAGTTTCGTGTGCATGTATCACTGTTTCATTGATTATGGACTGAATGACTGAGAATCCGATGTTGTGTGTTGTCTTGTTGGCATGAACTACTAGTTTGCATGTTTGTGTGTGACTTGATGATGGTGACTAAAGAAAAAGGGATAAAAAGTTATGTGAATTGGCAAACGGATAATGTGGGCGGCCTGACTAGGTATCCTAAGAGATGGTGGATGGACCGGCTCCGTAGGGAACCCTACCGGGAACGTGGTCTCTCATATCGGACGGGGTATGGAGACCTTCTGTGTTTTGGCGCCCATACCGGACGGGGTATGGGGACGGCCCGTTTCACTCTCATACCGGACAGGGTATTGAGGTTCATGGTTTTGGCGCCCATTACCGAACGGGGTACGGGGACGGCCCTGCAATTAGGTTACAAATGTTAAGGGTTCACGGGTAGCGAGACCCCTATGGATACTAGTACGCTGGTAAAAGAGGGAATTATGTTGTTAATGATTGAAAACGCAATGACATGATAAGTTTTATGTTATAAACTCTATGTAATTTCATGATGTGGATAATGTTATTGCTTTCATATGTTGTTTTATGGATCTCACCGAGGTAAGTGGACAATAAAAGGTTTTATGTTAATAAACGAGTTTATTATAAATTATGCTCCATTGGTCTTTTTGTGTTTTCTACCCACCTTTACCTCCGTGGCAGTGAGATAGTGTGATGTCTTTACTGGGCTGGTGTAGCTCATTCCTTATTTAACAATTTCAGATCAGGAAGACATTGTTTCCGAACCCGTTCCGCAGGAAGACGGCGAAGGGGACGCCTAAAGACTCCGTAGTTATATTTAGAGTTCTTATTTTTGAGTATATCTTTTACTCAGTTTGTTCTTTTATATTTTAAGCACGTTTTTTGTTATTGTGTAAGAGATGTTAATCATAATCTATTTTATTTCGCTTCCGCAAATTCATATTATTTATCTATATATATGCCTTTCCAATATTAAATTTTTCCGGGGCTGCTACACGTCCGTTCTTCTACCTTCACAAACCAAATCGAACGATTTGTTCTCAATAGCTAGATATCTTCTCCCGAATGAGCTCATGAAGAACCCAAGGTAAATGGTCGGCCGACAGAGGCCAAAATGACACAGAAAGTTTAGAGAGAAATTTTAGAGGGAGGAAGTCAAAAGGACATTCCAAACTCTAAAGCCTAACCAAGCAATAAAATTAACCTGGATAAGTGGAGCCAGCATGACATTTAATATTATTAGGCATTCCCTTTACATTTAGAATATTTTGTTGGAGATGAAGGGACTACAATAAGTTCGTACAGGTGATCCATGAATCATGGTTTTCTTCTAAACGTAATGTTCCTCTATGAAGCAGACTCTCACAAGTTGATTGTGTACAAACCTGTGCTAAGCGAGCGAATAAAGAGTAGTACTAACAAATGCAGAAATCAACTATGATCTAGAAAAGAATATTCCTCGAGCCTACGATAAGTCTTGCATATGAGGTGGAAACTTCTAAGAGCACCCTGTGGAACAGCTTAAATAAATGCTGAAATGAGTATACAACTCTCTACACTGCAGCAGAAAAAAATTCATCAGACAAGTATCTGCTTTATAGCAATCCTAGAAGGTAGAAACTTTAGTGGCTCTGAATTCATATGCGCTGCAATATGTCATCATAAAATATACATAGACGTAGGCATAGATACATGGAAGAACATGTATCTAAAGACTAATAGTATATTCAAGTTAACCTATTTTTATATAATTTATTTGGAAATTTTAGTTTGTGAAGTCATTTATATTTAAATTAGCATAAATACTTTTGTAAAGGTATGGACCAAATAATAAAAGAGCGAACTTTTCTATCAAAACATTCTAATTTCTTTCCCAATTCCATGAGCTATAATATAATTTGAAATATATAGATTTAATTCTACTTAAAATTCAACTGAAATTAGAATTTCTTGTTTTCATTCTTGAATCAGGGCTATTTCAAATCCACAAAGATATCCTATTCCTTGTAGATTCTAATTTCTATCCCCTCATTTTCCTTTTCTTTCTGTTCCTTTCAACTGGAATATTTTATTCTCCCTTTAAAACATACTCATCTCCATCTATCATATTCTCACTGAATTTCATCAGTCAATCCAGAACTTCCAAATTTTAAGCACAAAACAAATTGCACCTCGAAATAGTAATCTGATCCACCTCAGTGGTTACACATTCAGTGTGTGTGACAAAAACAGCTGATTATACTAAAAAATCAACAAATCAACTCATTAAGAAAAAAGGGGAAACTCACCTTGGAGCTTGAGAGAGATGACACCATCTTCAACGGACACGACGTCGACGTTCCCGCCATCGGAGATAAGATAAGGCCTAACATCTTCGAGGACCAAGTCCACGTTTTGAGGCGTCAGATCGAATTTACGGGCAGAATAGAGGCCCGGAGACGAACCAGTGGGTGCGCTCTGGCTCGAAGCTTTAATGGCCGTTTTCAAATATACCCTGGTTTGAGAGAGGGATACGTGTTGGTTTGGAAATATGATTTGTGGGTATTGATGGGTTTTTGTTGGAATGTTTGGGATTGAAAATGGTGTAGCGTGTAAACTCGTTCTGGTGGATTTCATGGCTGCCACGGACATGGTGGAGGATTGAGTGCTTTTGAGAAAATTAAGAAGCTTTGAGGGGGTTTTGGAGAAATACGGAAAGTAGTAAGGACCTTGTGGTGGTGGTGAATGAGGCGTGCAAAATTGGAGAAGTTGGAGTGGCGGTCAGATTTTGCATGCAAAATAATCCATAAATTCGTGTGGATTGAAAATAATATTTTTAAATAGGAACTGTTAAACTTTTGCAAAGTTATTTGGTTTATTATAAATAAAAATTTAATATTATTTTCAAACAAATATCAATAAAATTAATATTTAAATATATTTTTTTTAAACTTATTGATTTGATCTTATAAATATATTATTACCTTATAATATATTGTCGTCATAATTTTTTATTTTTTTTAAATAATAATTTATTAATTGTTGTATTATAATTAAAAAAATTCATTTCATATATTTAATATCTATTCATAAATTTTTATAACTCAATGATAAAAATTATAAAAAAATTTGATATTTTTCACTTCTATTAATTACTGATTATAATTTTTTTTTGTATGTTTAGTTTCAATAATTAGTTAATTTAGAATTACACAAAAAATATTATTATAATGTGTGATTATTATATTAATAATGTATAATAATCACAAAAATAAACTAAATGATTTATATTTAAACTTCAATCAAAATTTATAGGTTAATACTTTAGATTATATTTTGTCGTAACTAAAAGACATGAGTTCATAAAGGAAATTTTATTCAAATAATTTAATGACTTATAATTTAATATATAAATTAAAAATTATAATTTATTTAATAATGATAACTTTAAAATAAATGTAACATAAACAATCAAATTAATAAACATTGTTTTTCTACTATAATTGGAGTTCCGTCATACCAAATTAAATAGTTTACTAAATTGATTTTCTAAAAAATTAGTTATGTTTACTATACGAAAATGTTTCTTAATTTGTATTTTATAAATTCATGTATATATATATATATTTTTATAAATAAAAATAATTAAATAAAATATTAAGAATAATAATTTTAAAAATTATTATTTAGTATTTATGTGTTATTTTAAATAATATATATTATAAATTCAAAAGCAAATTTTTTACAAAAATATTTTTTATGGAACCCATCCCGCCAAAAGCCGAAATCCCTAATTGGAAAAATTGTATAGATAAAATCCTGAGTAATTTCCGTGACACTCTACTCTCTCTCTCTCTCTCTCTCTCTCGCTTCGCAGAAAAGGGGGGGGTTTTGCCTCCTCTGTTAGGGTTTACCCCGCACCAGACATCACAGGATTTCGGAGAGAAAACATGCTGAACCCTGAAAATGAAATCCACTCCTTCGTCAAAGGCAGTCAAGTAGAAGTCAGCAGCGACGAGGAGGGTTTCAAGGGAGCATACTTTGAGGCCACCATTTTGGAGTGCCCACCAAAATACAAGAAGAGGAAAAAAGCGTTGGTGATATACAGAACGCTGCTCACCGACGACGGGCGAAGTCCGTTGACCGAGTGCATCGACCTTGTTTATATGAGGCCTCTGCCGCCGGCGGAGGACAGTGCGAGGGAGAATTTCGAGGAAAACGACATTGTTGATGCAAGATACAGGGATGGATGGTGGCTTGGGGTAGTGAGGAAGGTTTTTGATGATTCAAGCTACATGGTTTATTTCGATAACCCGCCTGATGTGATTCATTTTCAGAAGGAAAATTTGCGGACGCACTTGGATTGGGTTAATGGCAAATGGGTTTTACCTGAGAAGCAGGTTTGTGATGTTTATTAATCTGGGTCTTTGGTGGTAGTACCTCATTTGCTCGATTGTGAATTTCGCATTTTTGTTTTTGTGGAATATTTATTTTTTGTTATTTATATTCGAGGGGTTGAATGTGAAATTTAGTAATTTTCAAGACTGCCTGAAACCCTGCTTTGTGGTTTTGATGTTGCTTAGTCTGATATAATAGATGTCATGCCTTTTCATCTGGCATAAAGGTGTCCATGCTTTTGAACAGAAATGATTTGCTTTGACGGGAATTATTTGGGAATTCATCCTGTTTGCTTGCTCTATTTTTTTTAAGGTCCTTCTGGTTCATATTCATGCATCTTTTTTTTTTTTGAAATAAAAAGTATAAAAAGAAATCATGTGTGCCACATTATTGATCCTCTTGCTCTATTTTTTTTAAGGTCCTTCTGGTTCATATTCATGCATCTTTTTTTTTTTTGAAATAAAAAGTATAAAAAGAACTCATGTGTGCCACATTATTGATCCTCTTTTTCTTCTCCTTTTTTTTTTTCCCTCTCTTTTGAAGCATCGTTCCCGTTTCCTGTCTATGCACATGGATGATACTGGGCTTTTTTTTCACTTTGCAGTTAAAAGACTAGTTAACGGGTGTTAAGAATGTGTCGTGGAGTGTATGCAAGTATTTTCCCATGACTATCTAGGTCTTTCTTGGCATATTTTTGGTGGATCTGTTCTAACAGATTCTTAATGCAAGATAATGGACCCTTGTCAATTCACACAATGCTTTTCATTTCCCTTAGTTGAATCTTTTATCTACTCAGCCTTTTTATGACCAATCATTTTCTCTGGCTGTTCCCTTGCTGCAATAGTCATGTTTATTTATACTCTTCTTCAATGGATAGTAAGTTTTTAATAGAAAAAACTAAAGTTTATTATACACGATGCACCTGAGTGTTGCGTGTGCCTCCCATGGATAAAAGCTTTCAAAGAAGACAAACATTCTATAAGGTCAACTATCGTTCAAAACTGAAAGAGCTTAAATGTGATTAAAGGTATGCATCCGTTATCCATACACCTATATAAGGGTGATTCCATCCCCTAGAATGCTTTACTGTTCCTTTCCCTCTTTAAAATCCAATCAATGGAGGGAGGAGTAAGGCCAATTATTCTTTGAATCTGTGACGCCCCTTCATGACTTGATCTCATCAAGGATGGAACTTGTAGGGCATGAGCTACTAGCAGTGCCATCTGAAGCCATAAACAAACCTTGATGTTTGTCAGAGGAGAATGAGAGCTACAAGGGTAAAGGAATGAGATGGCGGCTCAACAGTATCTAGCTCAATGTTTTGCTTATCATCATTAATAACCTAGTTAGTTAGAGTAGAGAAATCATTATGTTTCTTGTTATTCCATCTAACCTATTATTAATTATTTTCTAGAATTTCCTTTATTTTTTTGTTATGGTTGTTATGGGTTGTATGAAGGTGCGAATAGAAAACCACCTTACAAGAAGAAATCTGTATGAAAAAACCTTCTTGAATGAAATTCTATAATTAGTAGTCACTTGTAAAATTCTCTCACTCTCGGACTTGTCTTTCTTTGTTTTCTCTCTCTTCTCTTACTATTCTATCTTCTCCCCATAACCCTCATTTATGTCCAAAACTCTAAATCACAAATTACACTATCAAGAACCAATTGCTTGAACGGGCTTATGCTAAGGCTCCGTACAGCTTGGTATCAAAGTCCTTCAATTTCAAGGATACACAAAATTCGCGAGCGATTATGGCACTGATGCGAGGCAAGGCCATGACGACTGCTTATTGGTGTTGGCGACATTTTGAAGAGTCCATGAAAGGATTTGATCAAAAACTCAAGGAGGTTATGATGAAAATATATGACTTGATGCATTGCAATAGGGATGATTTGCAAGAGATGCATCACCAAAATTAGACGCGCCTCCAATCAAGGTTCGACAATTTGTTTGAATAGCTCCAATAGTTGCAGCACATAAGAGCCAGGTCTGACTAGAGTCAAGAATTTGGGGCTCTTGAACTGATGAGGGGATTGGCGAAACAGTTCCTGCCTTCCTCTAGGTATCGTCTTCTCTCTCTACAGACCCTGGTCAGAAGAAGATTTTGCCCATAACAAGATCACGAGAGGTTGGGTGTGGTAGTGGTGGTCTCGGATTCCCATGGCTTCAGGGTAGTATAGCATTACCCAGGTCCATATACTCTACTCTAAACAAAGCTTTCGAGGTAGCCCTCCTGGAAGAGCAAGCAGTAGAGGCCATAGATAAAAAGGGATAAACCCCGTTCCTAACGCCAATCTTAAAGCAACCAAAAGGCCATCCATGACACTACCGGGGACATCCTTCCACACTAAATGCAACAATACCCACCTTCGAATCTTGTTATTAAGTATTATAAACACTAAAATACTCAAAAGATCACACAACCTAGGAGCTCCTCCCGTCACTTTACTGCTAGTTCTAAGGACCAAAAGTACATTATAAATCCTTGTTTTAAGTTTGGAGAAAGATATTTTCCTGGCCAATAAGGCAAACACATGGCTATATTATATTAGGAGGGAGGGGAAGAAAAAGAGGAAGAGGAAGGAGGGGAGGATACGAAGATCTTGTCCTTACAAGCAATTGAAGAAGTAATTGGAAGACACTTGAGGACTAAAGGAAGATTAGATGGGGAGCAAGCAGTAATATTGTTGGTGGAAGTTTTGTCTTCCTTTGTTGATCTATAGCTGAACGGATGAAGGGCAAAGTAGTTACTAAGAAGCTCTTAGTAGTGGTGGTAGCTAATGGTTGGAAAATGATCGACCAAGGGGGGTGTAACAATGTTAGTTGGACCATGCAAGACCACCAATTATGTTGTAACCTACGAGTAATCAAATTGGGGTGTTATGGCATCATCTTGGAGGTGGATTGGATGAAGCAATATAGTCCCATGAAATTTGATTTCATCAATTCAAAAGTCAACTCTTGAAATTAGTGGTGAGGTAGTTACTTTACAAGGAGTAACATACTTAGGCAGGCCAAGAAAATTATCCTCTCAAGGCTTGAAAATGAGATGGATAAGAAATCATATTTGTATAGTGTTCTGTGTATTAGACGCTAGTTCAACAAGTCTTGAAGGATAGATGACTGCTTGCGATCGGTAGGTCAAGAGAAGGATGGTAGAAATATTGTCACAGTTCAAGGATGTCTTTACCAAGCCTATAGAGTTATCACCTACTTCGCAAGATCATGATTATTAGATCTCACTTAACTCTGAGAGGAGCATTTACCTCTAGATTTGTCGAAAAGGAAACTTGTTTTATTACTATGTCATTCTTGGCCAAATATTTATAGAAAGACCCAATTCCTTTTGAGTTGAGGGTCCAAATCGATTGATCATAATTCTCATTCAAAGATGCAAAAGACAGTAAGCTCAAGAGAGTTTCATACATTTAATTCCCAATTGCTAAGAGTTCTTAATACCTCCATGTGCCTCTCCCTTCCTTCCCCAAAGTCTCTATACGATTCATTGATTGAGATATCCTTATATCGTGCAATACTAAAGATCTGTGGAAATCTATCTCTAAGTGCTCTCTTCAAGCCAAGGTCTATTGAGAAGCTAGTTTTCTCTTCCTTCCCAATCCTCTACTTAATATATTTCTTAAATTTATTCCTTCTCATACTATTATTTTTCTTTTTCTTTTTCTTTTTTTGGATATAATATTTACTTTTTTCCATATCTCCTTTCCATGCAGTCTTGTCCGAACTCTAGAATATAATTCTTTATCTATTGTACCGAAATTTCTCCTTCATAACCCTCCGCCAAAGATTGCCATTTTCTTTCATGAACTGCCATATCCACTTTACCCTAAACACCCTGGGTCATTTCTACTACAAGCCTCAAACTTAAACGGCCTGATTGAATGGTCTTTTGGTCACTTCCTATGCCACTAAGTGAGACTTCCTTTTCTCCTCATAATCGTCCGTAAGAATCTACACTAAATTATTTTCAACTTTTTAGCAACACTCATGGGTA